GTCTTCAACTAGATCTATGTCCCATGGACATATTCCTACTTCCTCGTATAGAGATAGTTACAGATCTAGAAAAAAACTATCGACAAGAATCGACCCTATGGAGACTGGAATGTTCAGCGGATCAGGGTACGAGGACGGTAGAGAGATCTATTACCGTGTAAAGTACCCACAAACTTTGATCTCAATTAGCACAGACCTAATCAAGCAGCCATCTGAGACTAATGAGAAATCAAACCAAGCCGTAGATTGTACCGAGTCCCACGGTACGTGACGTAGATGAGAGCAAGACGAGACGGTACTGGTTAACGGGCCGTCTGCACTGGTTGGCTTATCTGTCCTCGGTCTCTATACACCGTGGTAGGTTTCGTTTGAAATGGGGGGGGGCACATTTAATAGAGTTGCAGGTGTGTGTTGATTACGGGAGGACGATTAAAGATGTGGGCTTTACAAGTTTCAGGTCTACCAGACGTGGGTTGTGTACTGCATCAATCAGCATTTTAAAAAAAAACGTTTTCAATGAAAATGTAATGTTACATAACATATCACGTTCAAATTATATTCATTCCAAGAGGATTACATCAAACTGACGCCGTTATTAAGCCACGAGGGAGGGGGGGGTGTAGTGACGATATAAATGACACGCATGGCTGCCATCCAGCCACACCATGACATCCCAGAGCCTGAGACCCGCCATGCTACACAAATATCCTCCACCCCATGCTACACAAATATCCTCTACCCCATGCTACACAAATATCCTCTACCCCATGCTACACAAATATCCTCTACCCCATGCTACACAAATATCCTCTACCCCATGCTACACAAATATCCTCTACCCCATAACTGTATGAACATCAACTGATGGACGGTGTGACACCCGCCATGCTACACAAATATCCTCTACCCCATAACTGTATGAACATCAACTGGTAGACGGTGTGACCACTGTTTGAATATTCATCATAGATGAATAATCAGTGCTGACAGGTGCAAGCTTAGCTCAGATAACAATGCTATCTACGTTGTGGCTCCCCATCTGGTCGCACCTACAGTCACGCACCACTGACTTCATCTCGCTACTAGAGCTATCAACATGTCACAAAAACATGTTGAAATGATCTACTTATGACGCAATTATTACAGGCTTTCAACGTGCCTAGTCAATAACTACAAAGGAACCGAGCATATTGAATGAACAAGCCATCATGAAAATAGAAGAAGCATCTAAAGACCGCGAGATTAGCAGCCTGCAGAAAGTGATCTGAGCCATCTAGCAGTCCCTGTCTGGATGTGTACGCCACACGGCAGTAAACGTCTGCAAGTTCGGCCTCAATGGCTTCATAGACTTACCAGGCCGAGCTATAAATAGTTGATTGATAGGGTGCTAATAGCCGGTGTTTACATGACAGTCAAGCTCCAGACAAATAAAAGTAAGGGGGGCGAAGGTCGACAAAACAATGCGTTTATTGTCTAGCAACGGTTCTACTGACAACAATATATTCGCTAATTACATGACATAAGTGGTACAAACATGCATGCATCTCGGCATTATAGGTGAGGAGAAAGACAAAGGGCGCAGAATGACAAACAAGGAAATATTTTCTCTCCCCCCCCCCTCCCCCATCACCTTTTGGTAGCCCGCCTGGCAGGGCGAGTGAACGACCTGGGTTGACTAGGGCACAGTTCACGGCCTGGTCAGGTCCGTTCATCTCCTGTTGGCTGGCCTGGTCAGGGTGGGGTCGTCTCAGCCTGACCCCTCCATAGATGGGGATAGCTCTTAACGGCACATTCATAGGCCTGGTCAAACTCAGTTCATGCAGGCCTGGTCAAGTTAAACCCGCTAGCCGTGGTCAAGTTAAACCCGCTAGCCGTGGTCAAGTTAAACCCGCTAGCCGTGGTCAAGTTGAACCCGTCAGTTTAACTTGTGGTCAAGTAGAAGTGCATTTTAAAAATGAAATGATTTAAATAGACATCCTGGTACAGTGGTTTTTCTTGGAAAAATAACTAGGAACAAAACTACTAGTGACTTTCTAAAAACGCGCTAGTTAAAAGTGCCAACGATATTAAAAATTGCACAAGTTTACATTAGTCTAACAAGCAGCAGAGACTTGATCGTTTGGTTATGTATTGAGACAAGCCGGGGCACCAGAAGACATTGAGGTAACCCAAGTGTCAAGCCGGTCTATAAAACAGGGTGGCACTTGTGTGCGGGAGGGTGAAATTGACACCCTTTCAGCATCACGCCCCACCCCCAGTTGAACAATGCACAACTCGGAATGGCCCCGAGACAAGCGATGGGTAGGAGACTCCGCCACAAGAGAACTAGCTAGTGGGCTGTCGTAGTATAAAGACAAGCTTAGATCGGGACCATTAATAAAGATGCTAGCAATGAACTGACAATCAACTCACAGGGCCAAATGCATGTAGTCACGCCACGTTTGAATGTAATTGTATCATACCACTTTTTAAAATTTTATTTTAAAAAAAATTATTTGTAATGCATCTACATTTTATCTTTGATGGTTAAAATACAACTCCACAGCAATATTTACTATATAATAACCAAATCTACTTGACTGAAATAAGATTCCTTCTAGTTGTAGGTAAAGGTTATCTCAGCTATGAGTTATGAACAATAAAAGAAGCCATCTCACGGAGCCGCCCATGTAGGTACAAGCTTGACTGTGATAAGATTTCCTAGAGCCAGTCAGTACCAACCTTCAGCTCTCTGGAAGTAACTTAACGCCTGGCAATATTTCACCCACCCTCCCCCTCGCATCACTAACCAGAGGTACTTTGCTAGTGGAGGGAGGGGGTGGGTAAGGGTGGAACCACTCTCTCTCCTGGGAAGCAGATAATGAAATGGCTGTCTCTGATTGGTAGGTGGAAGAGGGCAATGTCCTGCCTAAGGTTCAGAACAATCTTGCTCCCCATGGCTTTGTCCTCCCCACCCCAGGGCCACTATCAAATTCTTGCACACTAAGCCCCCCTCCCCACCCCCTCTCCATACAACTTACACCTTAATCAAAGAAAGTTTACTATTATCTTAACAGTTTTAAGTTGAAGCTGGGCTACTCTGAAACTTGTGTTTATATTCTGTTTGCTTGTAACAAGATCACAAACTGCGGAGAAATGTTTACACACTATAAGTGTATAAAGGCAGGTGGAAACATACAACTCAGGAGAAAATCTACACCACACATTTTAATATAAACTCTGGGAGTTCAACTACCCTTTTAAATGGTGAGCTTACTCAAACAAATTCTCTACATGAAACACACATGTGCAGAGAATTATTTGTTGGACAAAATTTTCAGAAAAATAAATAAATATTACTGCCTTCTCATTTCATTCACTTTTCTCTACAAGATATAAAAGCTAATCATGCGAATTTATTTTAAAAAATCAACCAAGGACTGGTAACCTGTTATAAATTATTCTTACAACCAATAGAACAAGGAAAAATCAGCTGAATCAAGAGTGACTTAGCTAGTAAGACCAAGAATATCTGATGAAAATATTAAACACTTTCTGCTCTCAACCACCAACCAATGCACAATCAATGAACAGAAATAGCAGGACAAAACAATGATTCATTTTCTTATGGAAAACAAGGGCCAGCAATGACAGTGCAAAACTAGCAACAAAACAAGTGAGAAACCACATTGAAAGTCTATTTTCCCCCAGTTAAGCCAAATACAATTTTTTTTAGATTTGCCAAATTGTAAACACACAAATAGCAACTAAAGTAATGTTAATACCAGAATATCTAAAACACACTAATAAAATGTAATAAAGCTTTGGCCTAGCTAAGCTAAATAGTGCTTTGACATTTGACTAACTACAAATAAATATAATTGTAATAAGGGCTAGCATTATTGAATAGCCATTAACCCATTTTGCTAATTAGCCTAGGCCTAATCATTAGGCCTATTTTATTTAAATTAAAATCAAGTAAAAAGTGGATCTTGTTTAGTTAATTATGTTCTATTTGTAAAGATAATCATGTTCTAAAACAAAAACAAATGAGCCTCTACTATAGGTCTACTTTCTATAGATCTACTATTAAGGGATGATATGAATAAGTTTAGGAATAGACTATAGGCCATAGGCCTAACTATTATTAATCTAACTTTACTTAGGGGCCTACAACTTAGGGTAAGGATTGATTCATAATGGACCTATTTAATTAGAAAATCAATTATTGTGCTGCTTTTCGATCCAATAGTTGAGTAGCTGATTCAAAACAATGAGAATAGCACTTGATTTACTAGATTCTATTTTGGATTTTCATTGGGTCTATTTTCTTTGTTTTGAAAGGAGGCTATGTAGATCTAGATCTAGCTAGTCCCTAGAAAATTTATACTTTTTTATACCCACTGTTTTCATTTAGACCTAGATCTAGATCTAGATCTCTAGATCTACATCTAGACTCTATATTGGATTTAGGCCTAATTAATAATTAGGCCTATTGTATGCCTAATATTTTTGCTAGACTTACTATTTAGGATCTTAAAAGAATGCTTAGGGCCTATTAAAATATTGAACACAAACAGGTAATCTATAGCCTAGTATACTCTTCACTGAGACACCCTCTCACTACTAGTCTAGATCTAGATCTGATAACTGAGTCTAGTCTACTTATTACTTAAGTCTACTACTACTAGACTACTACAGCTGTTGCAGGACTAAAATCAGCAATCATGAGTAATGTACACTGATGGAATAATAGATAGATCTAGATTTTAGTTCTAGAATCTAGAATCTCTAGATTCTAGATCTAGAACTAGATCTATCCACTCCACATATGAGAGTGAATAGTTCAATCAAACAAGGGTAACTTTGATGTAGACTGGTCTTAAAAACTGTCAGTATTCAGGAGAAATGAGTGTTGTTGAAAGAAGAAAAGATAGATCTAGATATCTAGATTCTCTAGATCTAGACTAGATCCAGAGTTTGATTCTAGAATCTAGAGTAAAGATTAGATTACTGCTTACCATACAACTCCAAAAGCACCATATCCAATCGGCCTGTCTGGCGTTTCAGATGCATAAGTAACGGGACTGATGATGGATCCTGAGACAGGGATAGCCAAAAGTCCCACATGTTGATTATTAGTTACACTGGGGCTTGAGGAAGAGTTGTGAAAAGCCATAACATGCCTTGAACTCGCTCTCTCAACTCTCTGCCCCACCACCGCCATGGCCATTTGCCCTTACACTAGCACAGCTGAGCCTGGTGTGCCCGCATAAATTTTTGGTCGATCGTGTATACTACTTTGACTTTAGTGACATGTATACACACAGACACCCAGTGGTATACTCCCTAAACGGATGAGTCCAAAATTTGGACTTCACGACGACTAAGCTAGGTCCAAACAGCTGAATGAACAGAGCTGATATGCGGACACTTCCTGACTCACACGCGACCCAGCCAGCACACAAAGAAACTTGGTCACGTGACAACGCCTTACACAGTTTCCAGTTCCGACAACGCACAGTGTTGGCGAGGAAAAAAACGTATCTTGCTATGATTTGATTTAAACCATTTTAATTAACATAGAATAATATTAAAATAATATAATGATTTTATGATACTTTTGTCTAACCACTGTGAAGTAATTTATTTTTAAAGATGTTTAAAACAAAGATAAAGCAAAACTGTAGCCCAGAAACTGTTAAGTTCACTATACAAAGGCCTGGCTCCGCCCCCTAAGTCAAGCCTAAATTTTTCACACACTGACACAGTTTCACGAGGTCCCACTTTACAAAACGTGGGGAGAATATCGGCTTTGTTCTTTATTCTTTGTTGTCTTTTACTTAATCGATCTTTAAATAAATATCAATAACGATTAGTGGTGTGTTTTTAATGGTAAATTAATGGTGATTGCTGGTTTAACAATTTAATCAAAATAAAATATGTACCAACAAGAAGCGTTGAAATAATTCAGAATTAACGTTCATCTAGAAATTGAGATATATATAGATCTATAGGCCTATATGTATTTTTTAAAATTAGCATTGTATGAATTAAGCGCTTTTAAATATAAATTCTTGGTCTTCTACAATAATTATTTTAAACAACCATAAAACTATGTTTACTAATATGGCTTGAAACAAAACAAAGTCTGTTTGTTGTCATTTTTTTTTATTGAGGGGAATTAACTGATTAAAAACTAATGTTTTTGTTTAGAATGTGGCTTCCCCTGTTTATAAAATTAAAGAATACTGTTTTTGTGACAGAATTAGAATTAGATTTCGGACTTACAAAATGAATCTGCGACTATCAAATGTTATCAATGCTCTCATTCTCGTGCAATTAAATATAACAATTTTTGTCTGCTGGTTTCTAGATTATATCTGCTTAATTGGAAACAATTCTAATATTCTCTATCGCATTTTCATCTTTGTGAAGACTTCACAATAATGGCAAACAACAGAGGAGTAAAACTGGTTTGTGACCAAAATCCTAAAGAAAAGCGACTAAAAAGCAGACATAGACTTAGATGGATAGACGATGTGGAGAGAAGTCCATGAAGAACAGACAGTACATAAAATTAATCTGCATGAAATAATGTGCTAAAATAAACCAACGCCCTCTAATGACTAGAGCCATAGGTATGGATTTATTGATGATTTGTCAACTTTTAAAATATTTTTTCCCTTTATATAACCCTATTTATGGTCAATGTATAAATGTTAATTTCCTGTTTAAATTTTACAGATTGAGTGTAGCCTACTTAAAAAGCTAAAATGTGGATGAATCTGCTAATAAATCATTCTAGAATCCACTTGTCCAACATAGAGTTTATTTATCAATTTCTATTTCAATTTACAAAAACGGCTATTTTTAAACGTTAAAAAACGGCTGTAAATTCAGTTTATAACATTACATTTTAAAAAGGCTATAGTGTAACGTCACAGTATCTGTGGGTTCCTGGAAATGTTTACATCGAAGTTACATGGCAACATGGATTAGAGGTTGGTTAAAAATGACCAAGATTTTTCATACATTGGTTCTCCTGTCTGTCTCTCTGTCTGTCTTTCTGTGTCTGTGTGTCTGTCTGTCTGTCTGTCTGTCTGTCTGTCTGTCTATCCGTCCGTCCGTCCGTCCGTCTGTCTGTCTTTCTGTCTGTCTGTCTGTTGTTGTTTTTTTTTTAAGTTTTAATTTAACTTGCTTCATCGGGCTTTTGACATGCTTCATCCGTCATAGATCAAAACTGGCGAGCGAAATTGCGACCATTTCTAACGGACTGATTAGTTTCAAACTTGGCACGTGGGTCAAGACCTGATGACAATGCAATATGACATCAAATTTGACTTAATTGAACGCCTAATTAATTTTTTAAAGAATTAATTAGTTTCCTGTATAAAGTAACTTCTCCCGCGCTATTATACGCCTATTGTTCATGTTCATTTGTTGCGAAATTGTTTTTAGTCGTGCAACTTTTTTATATTAAAAACATTTTAGTATTGAAAACAATGCTTAAAAACATTTTTAATTACACGTTTTTATGTAATAATGCACTAAAAAGAAGAAAATAAATTAGTTTCATTAAATATACAATAATCCACCACTATTTAAAAAATATTTTTTTAAAGTCCTCACTAAATAATAATAAACGCGTTAATCATATCCGTATCAAGTCTCGAGTTCAAACCCTCTGGCAGATAAGGCTCGATCCCTCCCAACACTAAAAATTAAGAACGGATAAGAAGATCTCCGTATAATACATAATTAATAATTATTTTATTTAGCCCCATCGATTCTTTTAAACTACAGTAAGCCTGTGTATTGATTTAATTATTCAAAATGTACTAATATTTGGAAGATTTCTATAGATCTAATACTATCATAATACAAAGAAAAATTACAACAAAGACATCGCGAATTATACATTATACAGACAACATTTAAAATAAGTCATTTGATGACATATAGGCCTAGCCTAAATTTGTCAAAGGGAAAACCACAGAAAAACCGGCGGTAAAACTTTGCATACCGAATTTATTTAATCTACATTTAAACAGATTTATAAATGGATACAACGTTTGCCTAGCCACAACAATGTACGATTAGACCATTCTATTGACATATCCTTAATATTGATTTAAACCAAACAAGTATAAAAATTAAAGTTAAAACAATTTAAATATGCGGTTTCCATTTTTGGAGATTTTACAATAGAGGTTATGACGCATGCGTAGCAAGCTGTTTCCTTTTCCTCGTGTGTCAGGTCCAGGGCGTTTATTTCCACCCCCTTTTCCTGTATTGTGTAGAAAGAATTAATGAACACAAGTGTTTGTTTGTAAGGATTACAAAATAAGCAAAAGTAAGTCAAATTGTAGCACCATATAATATGATGTTTTTAAGATTAATTATACATCTGTTCACTAGCTGTTTCATGGTCTAGAATGTCGTATGACGACGATATGATTCATGCTTTCTCATACTTTCTGTTTTTTTTTTGTATGCAGTTGTTGATTGAGGAAGCGAAGTGGGAAAAAAAACCGGTTCCCACTTTATACGTTACATTTTATAGATGTCTAGATCTATACTTTCCTAATAATCGCCAAAATACCACCACACAGATTCTAAATAGATCCTAGATCTAAATAGATTTCTAAATTTCAGCATTTAGAAACGAATCTACATACATTTTCTGTCTAAATTGTTCTTACTAATTTATTAAATTTAGGCCTGAAGTTAAACTTACTCCTCAAATAATATACCTTTTAGTGGGCTTTTAGTTGTGGCATTAATGATGATTAATGATTCTACATCTCTTTAACTTAATTTTTAACTTATAAGAGTAGGGCCTACTTATAGGCCAGGCCTACTAATACTTTATTTATTAGGTAGATCTAGATTATCTAAGATTATTTCTTATAAGATCTCTAAGTCTAGGGTAGTACCATACTTATTTCTTAGAGTAGTAGAATTTAGTGCTAGTGACTAGTCTGACTCAGTTTGATCTATTCTAGAATCAAGTTGTAAAATAACTAATAAAAAAATTCTAGACCTAAGCAAAGTAAGTAGGCCTAACTAAATGCTAAATTAGTAGGCTCTAATTACTTCCTCCATTTAATTTTATTACTTCTCTGTTCAAATTACTGTACTAGAAATGTAGTGTAGCAGACAAGTCACACTTTAAATCTTGTACTTGTTTAACTAATAGCGTATTAAATGGAGTATTGACCTACATTCAACACTATTGAATTGTAGAATGAATAGTTCTCAGTATAAAAAGATTTAACCATCAAACCATTACATTTAACACCCAACAGTAGACATTACCTTTTTTTTTAAATAAGCCAACTATTTAGAAAAGAAGTTTTATAGGCCTATTATTATTCAACTTTATAGGCGTAATAAATTATTGGCATTTTTAAAATAGGTCTATATGATCACACTAATTTAGCCTGGAGTATGTTTATGTCTGTGTCAGGTGTCACAATAATAGATATTTCAAAATAAAGGTGTGTTACTGTAAGGTTAATAAGGTTCTAATGCTATCCCTAACACAAGTCATTACATTGCCATGACCCTAACTCTAAAAACTGATACTTCAATATGACAAAAATACTAACATTTATTTTTGGAAGAGGTCTTTATTTATTGGTAATTGCTAATAGCCTTTACACTTAATGTTACCTAGTCCTATCTAAAGCTCACCAATACTTTTTAAATCAATTTAGCAATACCAACCAATATCATATTTGAACGATAGAAAGCAAACAGCTTATGTCAAATTGGTTTAATGTTTTATTGTATTGACCAGTATGGTTTAGAACAGGGTTTTAGTTTAATCAAGGGACCAAATAATTTTTTTTTTAGCCCTGTATCATCCATATTTCACTTTAATAGATAGGTTACTTGTTAGTTATCTAGATATCTGAAGTTCAAACAGATTTAATAATATAAAATTTTTATGGTTTTACTTACCTTATTTGTAGTAACTAAATTAAATTTATATGTTAAAATATATTCAGATGGCATTTATGAGGAAAAGCAAGTTTCGACATGTGTTTGGTAAACCCCTTAAAAGAGATGAATGTTATGACGGTATTCGTATAACCAGAACATCATGGGAATCAACTTATTGTGCAGTCAACCCAAAGTTTGTAGCTATAATTACTGAAGCAGCAGGAGGAGGATCTTTTCTTGTATTGCCCCTTGCAAAGGTATCTTATCATGTTAATATAAAGTAAAAACATAAGCAACTTCATTTTTTATTGTTCTTAAAATCCAATATTTGTAATTCTTCCAGACAGGTAGAGTGAGCATTGACCACCCTATGGTTGCAGGTCACAAAGGCGCTGTTCTTGATATTGCATGGTGTCCACATAATGATGATGTTATAGCCAGTGCTTCTGAAGATTGTACAGTCAAATTATGGCAAATACCAGAGGATGGGTTAAAAGAAAGTTTGACTGACCCAGTAGTGGACCTGTGTGCCCATCAAAGAAGAGTTACATTGCTTGTCTGGCATCCCACAGCTATGAATGTATTACTTAGCACTGGTATACAGCTTCATTTTTTTTCTTTATTGTACATGACATATAGGCCTATAATGATTTAATTAAAATGTAACACACCATTTTATTATCTAATTTTATTTCAAATTTTATTTTCTATACTATGAATGTTTTAATGCATAATTTATAAAGATTTACAAGAGTTATGTTTATCCTAGGTTCGGACAACTTTGTGATTTTGTGGAATGTTGGGACTGGTGAGGCCATGCTTCAAGTTGATATGCCAGATCAGATTTATTCTGGCTCTTTCAACTCAGACGGAAGCCGCTTTGTTTGTACCTGTAAAGACAAACTTCTGAGGATAATGGACACACATACAGGAAAAACAATTTCAGTATGGCTTATTCATTTCTTTAATCATTGTACAGATATATATGTATTAGTATATCATTGGTTAACATTAGATGATTAGTATATCATTGGTTAACATCTAGATGATTAGTAAATCATTGGTTAACATCTAGATGATTAGTAAATCATTGGTTAATATCTAGATGATATATTTAATGGTTTTGCCTTGTGTTTATTCACATACTAGACTTCTTAATTGATAATTTATCTTTAAAATCTCTATCTAAACCTCTTGAACAGGAAGGCAAATGTCACTTAGGATCAAAACCAGCTCAGTGTGCATACTTGAAGAATGGTCAAATCTTTACTACTGGATTCTCAAAGATGAGTGAAAGACAGTATGCATTGTGGGATGAGGTCAGTTTACTTTCAGCTACACGCTTTTAACAATAAACTTTAGTTCTAGCTCAGGCTGGGTTTTTTTCTAAATAGGCCTAATTATTTTTGTGGTAAGGTATTTTTTTTAAAAATATGATTTAAAATCCCTAGATTCTGAAAATGGCCAGAAGTTAATTCCTAGTTTGTTCCACTAGAGTTTTGTAATAGTTCTTGTCATAAATAGTACAGAAACAATTGATAATAATAAACTAAGTATCAATAAAATACTTAAAAAAAACTTTTTAAAAAACCACGTTTTTCTTGTGGACTAAAAAGTAGAAAATAACTATTTACATACATTTGATGACAAAAAACGTGGGTACGTTCACCATCAAATTTCCCGACCCATCTGCCCGACCCACGTTTTTTGTCATCAAATGTATGTAAATAGTTATTTTCTACTTTTTAGTCCACAAGAAAAACGTGGTTTTTTAAAAAGTTTTTTTTAAGTATTTTATTTTCTCCTTTTTAGTCCGTTGCTACACATGAAAAACGTGGTTTTTAAAAAAGTGTTTATAAATACACGGACTAAAAATCTTGAGCGACCAGGATTCGAACCTGGGTTGTCGCGGCCACAACGCGAAGTACTAACAACTATACGATCACGGCCAGCGCGCTCACATCGATTGGGGCCGAAGTAACTGTGTCATTAGGACTCCAGTCTTGTCGGTATCTTTAGAAATCATGTCCTCAATTTTATGGTCCTTGGGGCGTAATTAAATTAAGCTAATTACGGTCACTAATTGCTAGTTTTTATGATTGCATCTGAAATTGTTAGGCGAAAGTAGCATGCATGCCAAATTTCAGGTCTCTAGAGCAATCAGAAGTGGGCTAATTTTCGATGTCAATTTTAACAACAAACATCCAAACAACCAAACAAACAAACGCGAAGCTGAGTTAAGAAAAACGTTTTAAAATGTCATCTGTTCCAGAATGATTTGAATGAGCCAAAGACAATAGAGGAGATAGACTCAAGCAATGGTGTTTTGTTTATCTGTTATGATGCTGACACAAGTATGGTGTATCTTGCAGGCAAGGTGAGTACTTATTGTGATTTCACTTAATAGGTCTTCTTGGAAAACAAGTACTTTGATTAAAACATGCTTATTTTATAAAGTGCTCAACTCATTTTAAAATCAAACAACACTTTTATCCAATCAGTTCAACAAAAAGTTATTTATGATGTGTTTTTTTCTTCTTAGATTCTTTACAATTACATTTTTTTTTGTGTGAATAAGCTTTAAATAATTTTCACAGGGGGACAGTATAATCCGTTATTATGAGGTTACTGATGAGGCTCCATATGTTCATTTCCTAACCCTGTACCAGTCCAACTCCCCACAGAGAGGTATTGGATTCATGCCAAAAAGAGGCCTCAATGTTAATAATAATGAGATTGCTAGGTATGTTTTATTCTCTTTACTTTTTACCTTGTTCATGTTTTGTCCAGATTTTTAGCATAAGCTTTATCACCTTTTCTGTCTGCCAGGTTTTACAAGCTACACAACAATGGTTTCTGTGAGATTATTCCATTTACAGTTCCTAGAAAGGTGTGTATGGTTTTTTTCTATTTAAACTATTTTCTCTTTGATAAAATACATCAGGTGTTGTCTGAACTAAAATAGAACTATCTTGCAACTTGCTGGTGACAAGATTTGAATTTGATTCATTCTTTTAAAATAATGCCAATAAGATTTTAAAACGTGTGTCTAAAAAAATTAAATGTCATGATATAAGAATATGTTGTCATTTCACCATTTGACTTGACCATTGAAGAAGTAAAAACATTTGTATGCCCAGACTGAACATGATTAATGATATATAAAAAAACTTAAGTAATTAGTGACAAGACACTTGAGCGGTGAAAATACTGTATTATTTGTACAAGGAAGTTGTTTGCACATTATTACACCACATTCATATATGTGCATACACACACACTCCTCACTATTTTTGTAGTGTCATATTACATTTTTATTTTTTTACTTTGTGGTATTTGATGACATGTTCTATCATTCACTGAATGTATTTATTCGTTCTTTTCTTTTCTTGGTAAATGCTACAGTTGTAGCACTAAAATGCCTATCAGATACAATAACATGTTCACTTAAACAGGAAGTGACACTTGAGATCACTGCTCAAAATGTCAGTGTGCTGGGTCAAGCACTCACTCACACATTGTGTAAAGAGAATGTGTGAAGATGCTCTTAGTTTTTGCTGAGGTCCTTGTTTTTATAGTGGCTAGTAAATTTGAAACTTGTATTTCCTGGTTGTTTCACACCAAATCATTCATTTGTGATTGCTAACCTACTTTTATATTCATGATTTTATATATATGTGTGTGTGTATATATAAATATTGTAGATTTTTTTTTTTTTTTTTTGCATAGCATTTGATTTGAATTTTGTGTTAAATTTAGCCAAATTTCTTTGTAGTCTGAACTTTTCCAAGACGACCTTTACCCTGACACAGCTTCAGATGTGCCTGCTATTTCCGCTGATGATTTCTTTGCAGGGAAAAACGCTGAGCCTGTTTTGGTAGGGAACTTGTTTTTATTTAGCTTTAGTAATAATAAATAATTCCCAAACAAGCTTATTTTTCATTTAAAAAAAAAACTTTTTTAAAAGGTTTCATTGAAAGATGGATCAGCACCAACCAAGAAAGAGCAGTTAAAAGTGGTGAGAAAGTCCAATATTCTTGACAAAATGCCAGCCAAACCTCAACAACAACAGCAACAACAGTCATCCAACAATGCTGAAGCAGCAGCAGCCCCATCTTTACCACCTGTAAGTGACATATACTTTTTTATTTTACTCTCACAGCGCTACTCGTCAGATCACTTGGCTTCAGCAGAGTAATCATTTTTATGAAGACTTTTTGTGGGGTTTTACTGCTTTGATTTTGTCATTTTGAGACACTTGCATAATCTGTAAGTTTATTGCTCTAACATGTTTGCTGGTTGATGCTGGAGGTTTTGACAGTCATTTCATCTTGAAATATTTCATGAATTAGTTCTTGAGTTTTACAGCTATTATGAGTACTGGCACTCCTGTTAATTATGTTTTTTTTTTCAAATGCAATTTTATTATTCATCTGTGTAGGTGGGGGGAAGGCGGGGGGTCAACCTGCTTTAATTTTCCTCAGTACAATGTATAATTTCTGTTCCTTGTAAACACTTAACTATACAAATGTTTGTGTCATGTCCTGACCCTTTATTTAGTCAATAACCCTTACACATTAAAACGTTACTTGCTGTCATAGATAGGGTGAGACATCAAGGTACTTTAAGGGTGGTCAGTGTAGCCCAGAAGGGAAACATAGCACATCTACTAGTTGAATTATCTTTTCATTATTCATTTTGATTTGCAGTGCATTATGATCCTCATAAAATCTGCAAGATTTCAATTAACAAATTACATATTTTGTTATTGAAATAGACAATGATATAAGTGTTAAATAATTGTTTTGGAATTTAATTATTTTGTTCAAGTTCTAAACTAATTAAAATTGAGGCATATTTTATTACTTTAATACTCCGAGATTTTGATCTAACAAAGCTTCATCTATTTAATAGTGCAACTTCTGAGCTTGGTTTGGTTTTTTATCTCTTCTAACACCAGTTTTATCTTGTACAATAAGCTTTAGTGATATTATCTTTTAATCATTTATAGGGCATATCTAGAGCACATTCTTTACAGATGCTATACTATACTATACTGCAATTTGACAATGATACTTGTTGACATAGATATTTTATGGTAGGGGTGTGAGATAACACTATACTAAGGTGGGGGAGGGGGTGTCACTGTCCTAAACATAACCTACATACCAGTGAACTATCCTTTGATGTTAGTGTAAAGTGTTAGACTTTTTAACAAGATTTACAAGAATTTACTTTTGAACTACTGTGTGGTTTTTATTTTGAAATGTTTTTTTTTCACCTTAAACCTGTGACGTCTGGGATCTGAGGTCAGGTAAAGATTTTAAAAATTAGGCTTTATAAAACAACACACACCCGTTTTTGACCTCAGGGTTTTGACCCACAAGGGATTTTGGACGACATGAGAAAACTGAAGCTGATTGTTAAGGCACATGAAAGGAGGATTAAAACACTAGAGGAGAGGCTTTCCCAGTATGAGAGTGAGGAGGAGGCTGTTGAAGAAGCGTAAAGCCACATCATCACCTACTTCATCTATTTCACGCCATAATCAATGGTTCTTGATTTTTTTTTTTTGTTCTCTTTGGTTTTGTTCTTTCACTTTTGTTTTGCTGTAGTTGGCACGGGACTTAATATCTACATTTACTAATCTTGCATCAAGAATATCTTGAACATATCTCCAACAATTTTAGTATTAAGTTTTTTCCTCTTTTAAATTTTCCCTTTTAGAAGTTTTATCACCTGATGAAAATTAAATCATTTGCCCCCTTATAATGTCAAATTCTGTTCCGATTTTTTTCCAATAATTTCAAATTAATTCTTTTCATTTTTCAAAAAGATTATTTGTTTACTTTTTAAAAATTAAAGTAATGAGAGGACTTGCTGAAACCATCTTAGCAGGCTCACAAATATTACACTAATTGATCATTTATTTAATTTGCTTGGTAATGGCATTAAAAGTTCTTTCCCTAGGATGGAAAAAGATTGAATATTTAAATGATTTGTTTTCTGCTTGTCCTCTTTCATTGCTTATAGTAGTATTAGTTTCTTAAATGTTTTAAAAATTTCCAGCTAGGGATTAAAAATAATGAGTGTCTAAATTTTTCTTAACAAACACTAGGTGTTGTTCTCCAGCTATAGTTGGCTTCAGTGGTTCACTATCTGACTGATGTAAAAACTTTTGAATCCACAGTACATACTCTTGATTCATACACTTGTTCTCACAACTCATTACTTGCTTTGTAAATCTGTTACACAAAAAGGATGAGTTTAAAAACCTCTGAGAAATATTTTTCTTTAAATTGTTTAATATATTGTTTGAACTCTGCCTAATTAGCCTGTGAAAATGTGTTGTGATATAATACTATAGCCATAGAATGTTTAAAAAGCCCTCAGTATTGATGTGTCAAGTTATTCCAGCTGTGAGTAGCATGAGTAGCATAAACTGATGTAGTAGACTCTACTGGCAGGTGGTGGTGGAATACTTTCTCTAGCTTCTAGCTTTTTGTCTGCTTTTTCAGATGTGCTCTTAGAAAGCTCTTCTCTGCTAACATATTTACAATAGTCTTGTTTTATATTGCTGCTGGTGTGTGCCTTTAAGATAACTTTGTAGAGTGATGCAGTTGGGGGATTACTAATTAGATGGCCAGACTTGCTGACCAAGTGTAATCAAATGCTATGATGTATGTGCTAGTGTTACAACTTGAAGTGAATTGTGTGGGCTTGTCCTGATGACAGTAACCATTGTACTAATGAGAGACAGTATTACAGGGATGAATAACACATTTGTTTGAGTGATGTTTGCATGGATGAACATGGCACAGCATGAGGGACAACTTATCATGCTGTGTGACCACTTAACAGCTGGTTCATTCATTCATTTACCATGCCTTGACTATATGTCAATATACTTTGTTGTCATTAACTATCGAACAAAATATCACATATATATGTTTATTTTAAAAAGTTTTGTAAAAAAAAGGTATTATGTTTTATTTATTTAATTATTTTAAAACAATAAAATATAAGATGTTTTTAAATATTTATTTACTATTTTTAATTTTTATCGTTATTTTTGTTACATTATTTTCTTTTTAAAACACTACATAACTTTTAAAACTTATTTTAAATGGATGATTGACAAATGTATTATATCTTTTTTGTTGGATTTAACTTAATCTTTCTATCTTTATTAACATTGTTTTTTTCCCCCCAACACCAACTTGACTGTTGATTGATGCAGCAGTCACACAAACATGATGGTATCGACCTGAAGGAACTCCAAGAAGAAATCACTGAGCTAAAGAACAAGGTGCGTAAACAGGACAAGCGCATTGGGGAACTGGAGCAGCGCCTTCAAGCCCTGGAGCAGCAGAACACAGAGGAAGATGAAGGCCAGGAATGATAGGCCTAGCTGCTACTGGCTTATTTCTCTTATATGTATATTATGAGCATTATTGTAGGTCTAAAACACATTACCAGCTATATTTACACATTCATAGCATTATTTTTTTTATATATGGGATCCTTTTGTTGAAAGTATTTTAGTTTTTACCAAATTTTGAATCCCCTCCCCAGAAAAGTTTTGATATTTGTGAAGATGTTTTTGTGCCATGAACAGTTATCAAAGGCAGCACACCATTGTTTGATTCCTATCAAGAAGAGTGTGTTTGATCCCTTCCAAAATGTGTACTGGGCTACATCTCCCCAAGTTTGAGAAGCTCTGTCTTAGATCAGGTGACTGACAGCAAGTATTTTCTTCAGGTTCATCAGACATGTTAGTTCTGCTGCCATCTCTATCATCACCTTAGAAAACACATTTCTTGATGAGTTTCCATACTGGTATGCTGGTAAACAATCAAACTACTTTAGAAACAATTTTGTAACTGTTAATAGAGAAAATGGTTTCAATAGTCATTTGGCTCAAACTTGTATCATGTTGCATACTATTAGAGAAACCTTGTCAAATTCTCATACATAAGTATTGAGTTCTTTTATTGTACAACTTTAGACTATATTTGCTTTGTGTACAAGCATAATTAGTATTTGCTAAAAACCTATAACCATGTTGTATTGTATGGAAGTGACCATAGAAGATCCCAGATTTTATATCAACCTTATTTATCTTGTATAGTCATCACTGGGATAAGGTTTGATTTCAACTTTGCTGGGCTATGTGTGTGACATAAGCTAAATGTTGATCTAAGGACAGTGTTTGCCTAAAGACTTCCTTTCTCAAGACTTTGTCCCTAATCTATGCTGTCATTTTCTTCAAATTTGAAAACATTTGTCAAAACACAAGGAGATTCTGATTGTTGTCCATCTTTAGTTATTGGTTTCTAGATGTTGTTTAAAAAGTTTGCCAGGAAATATTGTTAGTACTTGATGTCTCTGAAATTTTGATTAGATTATCATACCATGACTGATTGAAAGAAAAATCTAGAATAACTAATTACACAATAGTAGCCAAAACAGGTAGCTGACAGTGGAGCTTCTATTCTCCACCTGTTTGTCCTACATAATGTGTCCTCTGATGAGTTCTTGGACCCATCAGGTCAAGACTAATTAAGGACCATATCACGTTTGCCTCATAAGACACTATCAGGTGGAGAAAATTAGGCTCCACTGCATTAAAAATACAACCCGACTTTTAGCACTGTGTGCATTTTATTTCCATATGATACTTGGTATGTAAACATAATATAAACATTTGTATATCTGCACTGTGAATGATTGTACTGTTTTGTATAAACAATTTAGTTGCTTTTTTAAAAATTGCTATAACTTATCATTTGTTACAACCAATGCATGTGCATATGGAATGAATGCCATTTTCTTTCTTATGTATTGTAAATAACTTGCTGCATGTTGATTTTTTAAATTGTTTTCTTATTTTGGGGCACTGCTAATTAACTACATATACCATTTCTTGCATCAGTTAGCTAAAGTTGTATTCTATGCATACAATCAAGTGGTCAAAAGTTTGATCATCTTGTACCAACAAAAAGCTTTCGCAAACTAGTTTTTAAAAAAAAAATAACGCTTGTGTTAAAATTGTATTTATATGCCTGAGTTGAATTGATGATTTAATCTGTGTATTTCTGTGGCTAATGAAACTGTAAAGCCCTGCTAAATTCCAATACCTGACTTGTTCACTGAGAGCTGAAGTATTGAAAGGCAATTATTTACTGACATTCTCTGTATAAAGCAATCCAATAAATACATAATAATTTAGATCACCATTTGCTCACTTGTGTGTTTCTTGCTTTGGTTGTCTTGTTTGTGAGGAGCTGCTGGACACTCAAGTGCCTTGCTCCTGATATTCTTTTTTTTTTCTTTTATCAGACATCTCAGGAGTTAGGCTTTTATTGAAAAATCAAAATTGATCTTTACAACTTTGGTAGGGTCACCTTTTAATTCTCTAACTTTTTATCTAATTTTTTTTCAAGACTTTAAATGAATCTTTGATGTATATTTATTTCTGGTAAAGTTGGCCGTCTTGTTTTTCCTGTCTGGATTATATTTCAGCTCTGTGTGATCCAGGTGGTTGAACCGCGTGTGATCCAGGTGGTTGAACTGCGTGTGATCCAAGTGGTTGGACCGCATATGTTATCCAGGCAGTTGAACCGCATGTGATCAACTCAGGGGTCAAGTTGCTGCTTTTTTTTTTCCCTCCTAGAAATACATTTTTTATCTTTTTGCTTTCAACTAGTGTTTTTAATTAAATATTTTAAGTTCAACCTTCTAAAACATTTTTTGTGTGAGAATGATGCAACTAGAAATGTCTAGGTTTTAAAAAGTCAAAATGAACAAGTCAAATTATATCTGATTTTAAACTAGGTAGTAAACATTCTAGCCACATCTTAGCAGAGAATGTTGTAATTTATTTTACTAGCTTTTTTATTAAATAAACTTTTTTTGTTTTAATTTTAAAATGTTACAATAACTAATCTTGGGCTCTTCAATCTTTACTCTATTGCCAAATTTTATTGAAGCCTCCCAAGTTTTTTGGTTCAGTCATGGCAAGGGGTAATGCAGCTCTTGCCTGGAAAACAAGAGCAATTTAGTTTTTCCTGTAATTTTTAGAATTAAATAAAAAAACCTCCCAAGTTACTTAGGCTCAGTAATTGTTGGTAATAGTTTCCATGGAGAGCAACAGACTGGAACACAAGAGGCGGAGCTAAAGGTTTATAAGTTCTGTTGAGCTAAGCATTAGATGAGGTTACTATGCAATGTTGTGCCTCCAATTCCTTTGTTATTTTTTAAAAATATTTTTGGATCCAATTTCTGGTTGACAAATGAAGCAATGTGTATGTTTTGTGTACCATAATTATTTGGCTATTATAACTGCTTGCTGCAATAGTTGTACTTGATGTTCAAGTAATTATTTTCTATGATTTTATCCAATTAAGAAACCACTATTATTTTAGAGCACTATTCAAAAGCATAACATAATAAAAATCTCTGGTTTCAATTCATAATACTGTCAACTGAACAAATATATTTAGTGGTAAAAGATCACAGTTTAGAAGACTCCATTTTGTAACTGAGACAACTGTTTTATTTTTGGTGTCAAGGCCTACATATTTTTAAAAGTTTCTAATGATCTATTAAATAAAGATTTGTGCAGCCTTTTAATCCTGTTGTTTATTGAACGCAATAATGTCAACAGCCAGCTCTGTTATTAATATTTACATACTAGCACTAGCATAGTTTTCTTGTAGCAGTGGTCACATTCTTTTTCCAAAAGAAGAGTTAGGATAGTTTGATCTATACTAACAACTTTTATACATTGATGCAGCTAGATATGACACATCTAAAAAAAATTAATTATAAAATACATAAGATATTTAGTAGTACCATATCCAGGTTAAGTCATTCCAGCATACTTACTTCCCTTCTGAAAATGGTCATCATTTTGTTTTGGACAGGTAAGGGTAATGAACTATAAAATCTTTCAGCATTAAACACATTATCTACAGAACTCTACAAGAATTTTTTAAAACTTCTAATTAAATATCTATAACAAAAATTTTTCATCGAGAGAAAGGTAGTTACAGAATAAACTTAATCTTCTGTAAAACGTTACTTCAAATAAAATGGGTTAATTACAATTGGCTGATAGTAGTGATAGCCCTGCAGGGAAGAAGATGGACATGAGTTCCATTGCTGTTGGAAATAACTTGATTTGTATACAACACAATTCATTTAAGCACAACAGTCATGTTGAAAGGTACCAACATTAAGTGGACCAAATCCCTCAATGATTTTATACACTAACAGCATAGAAGAATTGTATCTGTACATACACAAGATACAGATAATGTGTAGGACTGACTAGTTTACACAGCATTTACTTGAGTAAAAATAAGTATTTTTCAAAAGCATTACACTTGAGTCTTTTTTTTGTTTCACACACTTGTTAAAAAGTCTTTTTCCCTTAGCAAATCACTTGATGGAGTCAAAAAAAGTTACATTTTCTGACCCCACAACATGAGCATTGTGAAGCACATGTTTAGGGACTTCTACTATGTCTCCTGGCTCCATTATAATATTGTGTCCTTGCATGGATAGGAAGAACTTGCCAGATGTGATGGCATCCATTTTTGTCATCTCATGGGTGTGGTCAGGGAAATCTGTGCCGGGTGGGAAAACGTAGCGCGTACATCTATAACCCATTGACATCAGCTTTTTTTGCATGTTGTCATTGTTGAGTGGTCCATCAGAGGATTTATCCCACTTGATCAAGTTTATTTGAGACATTTTTCTATTGATAAAGCTGGTTTAAATGCCTTGTCAGAAGATAAGATAAAAATTGATTACAGTTATCCATAGGCTAGTAAAGTAAAACATTATTATAATCAGATGAATTTTTATTCCTTTATTAACTTACAACACAACAGAGAAAAAGCTGCATAGTGTATGAAACAATGTATTTCAACACTGGTAACATTATATGGAAACCTTATACTCTTGGTATAAATAGTGCTATACACTTGATATAAATAATGCTATACACTTGGTATAAATAGTGCTATACACTTGATATAAATAGTGCTATACATGGAGTATAAATAGTGCTATACATGGAGTATAAATAGTGCTATACACTTGGTATAAAATTTTAAAATAGTGCTATACACTCAGTATAAATATTTTAAATACTGCTATACACTTGGTATACAAATTTTAAATATTGCTATACTCTTGGTATAAATAGTGCTATACACTTGGTATACTAATTTTAAATAGTGCTCTACTCTTGGTATAAATAGTGCTTACTCACAGTACCATTGATAGTAATGGAGGGAATGGGATGGTGGGTCACATGGGAGAGCATGCTAATGCTTACACAAAAGTCTTTGAGTTGGAATCCAGGTTCAAGTATGTAGAACTGATCACATTATCCCTTCATTATGAAGGGCCTTCATATGTTGAGGACACAGAAAAAGGCCCAAGGATCATCAGGTTCAAAAGGGGGAATATGGAGTTGTGGGGAATATGGAGTTGTGGGGAATATGGAGTTGTGGGGAATATGGAGTTGTGGGGAATATGGAGTTGTGGGGAATATGGAGTTGTGGTTAAGAAAATTTGATTAAGCATAACTTTTGTGTTGCTTAGAAATTAAAATAAGTTAAGAAAATAGTGTAGGCCTACTAGATCTAGGTCTTAAAAAAATATTTTAAAAATATTTTTGAAGGGGGGAGTGAAACGTTTTGACATGATTTTTATAGGGTTTCTATTTTTGATGATAACAATAGAAGGTGGAATGAAAATCAGCCAATAAAAAAGCAAGTGTGTCATGGATGACCCTTCTTTCCTAATGACTAATTTAATTAATTGGTAATTAGAATGTTGTTGTATTTGTCCATTTACAATAACAACGATGTATTAATTGGTTCAGCTGTCAACAAATAATGCTGAGTCCATGTCTATGCTAGTCTGTCTACTCTCTCACTGCTGACTAAATCTCTAGATCTAGATCTAGATCTAAAAAAATCATTTACATGACTAACACACATTCAGTCAATTAAAATTTATAGGCCCTATGCCTATATCTGAACTCAGTGTTTCTTCCAGACTTTTTTTCTCCGAGGGGGGGAGGGGAGAGATGCATGGGAGAACCTGATCTAACTTATAACTAGATCTAGATTTTATAGATCTAACAAAAATATTAAGATCTACAAGAAATCTAGATTAGATTCTAGATCTAGATATCGATCTCTAGCCTACTAGATCTAGATCTAGACCTAGATCTAGATCTAGATCTAGATCTAGATTTACTACTAACAATAGGCCCTATTAAATAGGGGAAATAATTTCTGAAGTCCACAGCGAGGAGCCTGAAAAGAATTCGCTAGTACTAGATCTAGATCTAAATACCATTCTATATAAATCTAGATCTAGAAATATAGATCTAGGCCTAGAGTGCCAAGAGTTAGATTCTAGATCTAAAAATCTGAGTGAAATGTCATTGTCCAGTCCTTACCCATAAACAAGGGAGGTCACTCTAACACACTATATCACTATACCTTGGCTTTTTTTTTTTTTACAAAACATTTGTTATTTAATATTTATTTAGAAATTAGATCTACTTAGATCTAGAATCTAGATCAAGATTTCTAGATCTAAATGAAATTAAGGAGTATTATTTTATTTTTATTTATTTCATTTAATCTATGTTGTAGATCGATAACATAGACCTATTTATTTAGTATTTACTAGATCTACTTAATTCAACTAAATTGTTAAATCTAAATGCACATAATAATTGAGTATGTCCAGGGCAGTGTTTCTTCCAGACTTTTTTCTCCGGGTGGGGGGGGGCACTGTTAAAACAGAGGCGTAGCGACCCTTCCCGGCGCCCGGGGACAAACTTTCAATTTGGTGCCCCCCTCGAGAACAACCTTTCAGATTTCAATTTGCACCCCCCTCCAAACTTTCAATTTGCACCCCTCCTATATATTTTTTTATACTTATAATGCAAAACTGCAGCTAAAATGAGACTTCAATTTGTTTTTCCAACCCATTTTGGCGCCCCCTAAGGTCGGGCCCCAGGGACATATGTACATATGTACCCCCCAAAACCCCCTTCGCTACGCCTGTGTTAAAAGTATATATTTTCTATATAAATTTCATTTTGTTCAGGGGGGGAGGGTAGACTTTCTCCGGAGCCCCCCCCCCCTCCCCCCCTGAAAAGATGCCTGGAAGAAACTCTTGTCCAGGGGAGAGTGCCATGTTGAATAATGAAATTGAATATTGTTACTAATTCAGTAATAACTAATTGTTAGGCTTGGCTTATATGTGTGTAGCATGACAAAATGCTCACGTTTGGGAAGGGGGGGGGGTAACTTTGTGTCAGCCTGTGTTATTCCATTTCAATCTTGTAAAACTGTTAACTGGCAGATGTGAAGAAAAAAAAGTTAAATAAATACACACACAAATCAAACTAACATGGGTATTTTGTTTTATTATGTTCCTTGAATAATTTCTCAATTACAAAACTCTTCATCCTTTGACTTTTAAAGTATGGTAACAATTATTTTTAAACTATGTTTTAAGATGTAAAGTCAAGATTAATTTAATACCTGATGAGGTCACAACAATGATTCTAGCTAATATCACAGCCATTAGAGAACTAACAACTTTTAAACAAGCTTCAAATCATTGAATGAAAAACTTATGCATGAAAATGGAAAACATTAATACAAATTGCCAATATAAATAATAACAAATATGGTACAGAATGGAAAATATAACTATAATGCTGCAATAAAAGATTACTTTATTATTTTAAAATACATTCTGACTTGCAGAATAAACCCACACTTTTCATGTGTGAACAAATAAGAGTATGGTGTACATAAAAACTGGTTGCATTAAAAATATAAAGATTCTATTTAATAGTCAAACATAAAATATATTGCTTTCATTGTGTAAAATAATATGCTTATTGTATTAAGACAAAATTATGAATTTAAAAACAAAACATTACATTCTGGTAACAATATGAAAAGAATTAATGAAAAATGGGTACTTCAATTTCTGCAAATAAATGATTTACATGTGCTAATTTATATTGAATAAAATATTTACTATATTATGATAAAATGTTAATAGCAGTATATCTAACTGATGTTTAAAAGTTAAAAAAAACAACAACTCAATATAAAAAAACATAGCAGGCCTGTAAATGGACTGTTGATGTGGTACATGAAACAACAGCATCAATTGTGAGCTGTTGATGTGGTACATGAAACAACATCATCAATTGTGAGATGTTGATGTGGTACATGAAACAACATCATCAATTGTGAGATGTTGATGTAGTACATGAAACAACATCATCAATTGTGAGCTGTTGATGGGGTACATGAAACAACAGCATCAATTGTGAGCTGTTGATGTGGTACATGAAACAACATCATCAATTGTGAGCTGTTGATGTGGTACATGAAACAACATCAATTGTGAGGTGTTGATGTGGTACATGAAACAACAGCATCAATTGTGAGTTGTTGATGTGGTACATGAAACAACAGCAGAAATTGTGAGCTGTTGATGTGGTACATGAAACAACAGCATCAATTGTGAGCTGTTGATGTGGTACATGAAACAACAGCAGAAATTGTGAGCTGTTGATGTGGTACATGAAACAACAGCATCAATTGTGAGTTGTTGATGTGGTACATGAAACAACAGCAGAAATTGTGAGCTGTTGATGTGATACATGAAACAACATCAATTGTGAGCTGTTGATGTGGTACATGAAACAACATCATCAATTGTGAGATGTTGATGTGGTACATGAAACAACATCATCAATTGTGAGCTGTTGATGTGGTACATGAAACAACATCAATTGTGAGCTGTTGATGTGGTACATAAAACAACAGCATCAATTGTGAGTTGTTGATGTGGTACATGAAACAACAGCAGAAATTGTGAGCTGTTGATGTGGTACATGAAACAACAGCATCAATTGTGAGCTGTTGATGTGGTACATGAAACAACAGCTTCAATTGTGAGATGTTGATGTGGTACATGAAACAACAGCATCAATTGTGAGATGGGAGTCATTAGGTGGTTTTAAATATTATTTGAGATATAACAACAACAACAACAATAGAAACTATCAAATTAAGCAGAAGATTTATCACTACCATTTCTCTAATATTGATCCAAAAAAGTAAATAGAATAAAATCCGCACAAAACTTTATATCCTTTAATTTGGCCTAAATATGTTGCTAAATGCCAACTATTGCTAACAATGCAGCAACTATTTCAAGATTTTAAAATTGTTCAATCTCATAATCTTTAAGTTACTAGAAAAATATGTTTAAAAATTTCCTTTCAAATTATTTATAAAATAACAAAGTAACATTTTTTAAAAATCCATGCTTACCACAGTAAAATATTTCCTGCATAAGTAAGCAGTAGATATTGTATCTGAGGAGGAACTGAGTACAGAAATGTAGAAATACACGGAATAGTTTACAAATTAAAAAAAAAATCCTTGTGCTCTTCATATAAAAAATATGTGTGCTAAAATGGTTCAATATTTTGTTATTCATAAGTTAAGTACATTCAAACTTAAAAACAAAATTTACTAGATAGATGAAGGCATATCATTAAACTGTTACAAATGTTTTTCAATGAACTCATAAAATTACTAAAATAATTAGACACTTTAAAAAATTAAAACATTTTTTAAACTACCCCAACTATGACAAAACATTAAAAATTGGAATTTTAAAAGAATTGTTTAAGGTGTCTACTACTGGCCATGGTAAATAAACTACAACTTATTAGCAAATTTGTAAAATTTATATCATAATTTAAAAAAAAAAGATAACATTCTATATTTAGATAAAAAAATTACAGTAAAGATTAAGTGAATTTAAAAATAAAATGTTTCTACACCAAAAAATTAATTCCAGATTGTTTGTTTAGCAAATTTATAGCTGCTAGTTGGTGGATCAAGCACCTCTCTAATGTAGGGAGATCACTTGTCATTGGAAACATCAACATCATAACATTGATGGGAAACATCATAACATTTATGGGAATCATCACAACACTGATAGGAAACAAAAACAATGATGTCAAACATCATAATGCTTAAGCTAACTAGGCTGGAAGACATTCACCCATGCAAGTGTCTGGCATCCAGCCTTCTTCAAAACCTGCAGATTATTATGGCATCATGCATGTACAATGTGTGCTCAACAGGGCACTCAAGTACTGAGTTCCCCAGGGCACTCAAGTACTGAGAATCCCAGGGCACTCAAGTACTGAGATCCCCAGGGCACTCAAGTACTGAGATCCCCAGGCTCAGTTATAAAAACAGTAAACAAAACATGAACAACCCCAGTAGTAGGAGATTATCACAGTGTTTTGTTCTGTTCAAACAATTGCAGAAAGATTTACTGGGTCATCACAGATAGAGTTTTGGTTGAACGGAGTTCTCTCCCCTGCCCCAAGGGGCTTTATTGGTTTGGCTGACTCAGCAGATTTTCACTTTTTAAACACAAATTTAGCGCACAGCCATGTACAGATTACACTGGGGCGTGTTCAGATTACACTGGGGTGGTATCTCACAACACCAGCTCCTTTACAGCAGTTTTGTTGAGCTGGTCTACACATCAAATTTTTTGATTGACTGAGCTGGTCTACAAATTTTTTGATTGACTGAGCTGGTCTACACATCAAATTTTTTGATTAACTGAGCTGGTCTACACATCAAATTTTTTGATTGACTGAGCTGGTCTACAAATTTTTTGATTGACTGAACCGGTCTACACATCAAATTTTTTGATTGACTGAGCTGGTCTACACATCAAATGTTTTGATTGACTGAGCCGGTCTACACATCAAATTTTTTGATTGACTGAGCTGGTCTACAAATTTTTTGATTGACTGAGCTGGTCTACACATCAAATTTTTTGATTAACTGAGCTGGTCTACACATCAAATTTTTTGATTGACTGAGCTGGTCTACACATCAAATTTTTTGATTGACTGAGCTGGTCTACAAATTTTTTGATTGACTGAGCCGGTCTACACATCAAATTTTTTGATTGACTGAGCTGGTCTACACATCAAATGTTTTGATTGACTGAGCCGGTCTACACATCAAATTTTTTGATTGACTGAGCTGGTCTACACATCAAATTTTTTGATTAACTGAGCTGGTCTACACATCAAATTTTTTGATTGACTGAGCTGGTCTACACATCAAATTTTTTGATTAACTGAGCTGGTCTACACATCAAATTTTTTGATTGACTGAGCTGGTCTACACATCAAATTTTTTGATTGACTGAGCTGGTCTACACATCAAATTTTTTGATTGACTGAGCTGGTCTACAAATTTTTTGATTAACTGAGCTGGTCTACACATCAAATTTTTTGATTGACTGAGCTGGTCTACACATCACATTTTTTGATTGACTGAGCTGGTCTACAAATTTTTTGATTGACTGAGCTGGTCTACACATCAAATTTTTTGATTAACTGAGCTGGTCTACACATCAAATTTTTTGATTGACTGAGCTGGTCTACAAATTTTTTGATTGACTGAGCTGGTCTACACATCAAATTTTTTGATTGACTGAGCTGGTCTACACATCAAATTTTTTGATTGACTGAGCTGGTCTACACATCAAATTTTTTGATTAACTGAGCTGGTCTACAAATTTTTTGATTGACTGAGCTGGTCTACACATCAAATTTTTTGATTGACTGAGCTAGTCTACACATCAAATTTTTTGATTGACTGAGCTGGTGTACACATCAAATTTTTTGATTGACTGAGCTAGTCTACACATCAAATTTTTTGATTGACTGAACTGGTCTACACATCAAATTTTTTGATTGACTGAGCTGGTCTACACATCAAATTTTTTGATTGACTGAGCTGGTCTACACATCAAATTTTTTGATTGACTGAGCTGGTCTACAAATCAAAATTTTGGATGACGTTGACCTCAATTAAAATAGCAATAACAAGAAAGGCAGCGTACAACACGAGGAGGTAGATGCCGTAAGGTCTGGACATCTTGAAGCCAAACAGGGGGACAATGATGAAAGACGAGACCAAAGAGAAGCCTAGACCAGCGGCCAAGGTCATCTGCTCCAGGTTGACCTTGAGCTGCAGATACAAAGGTCAGATTCATGAGGTTTGTTGACATTAACTTCCTATACATTCAGAGAAAAACATTTTGTACTGACAAATTTAAGTAAACCTGGTTATAGATCTACATCTTTAAAATACAAGTTTAAAATAAAAGGGAAAGAACTTACATCAAAAGTTCCTCTATTCTTAAAACAGGCAATGGAGAATGGAATGCCTAAACCCAGCAACATATCTTAAAGATGTTGGTTAAACTTTATAACTTATATTTTATGAGTTTACTCAGTTAAAGAAGGGACACTTTAAAAAAACTACATCAGTATGGTTGGCAAAACTAGGTGAAAACTGTAACAGCTACTGCCAATAACTTTAAAAATATTAACAAGAACATTTACAGGTTGTTTTTTTCTATCAAGATGTGACAAAAGGATACTAAATAAAGGTCCCCCAAAGCAAGCTGAGATGCCCATTCGAGGGAAGCCTTGTCTAGCCATGGTCGTATCAGCCACAAAATCTGGTGGAGAAAAATGTTTGATAACTTTTGATTTTTAGAAAAATGTTTGATAACTTTTGAATTTTAGAAAAATGTTTGATAACTTTTGAATTTTAGAAAAATGTTTGATAACTTTTGAATTTTAAAAAAAATGCTTGATAACCTTTGAATTTTAAAAAAATGTTTGATAACTTTTGATTTTAAAAAAATGTTTGATAACTTTTAAATAAAAAAAAAATGTTTTATTAAATTTATTCGTTAACCATTCGTTAACTTACCACCAATGCTGTTTCCCCACGCCAACAAAGTCAAGCCAAGAATGGCATCAGACAAATCAATAGCAACACCAAGGGCCTGAAACAAAAAAAACATAGTCTGGAAAATTATAGCCATATTATAAACTGGAAATATTTGCAGTCTGCTCTTATTTCCATTAAAATATGTGCAGTCTGTGTCTGCTCTTATTTCTATTAAAATATGTGCAGTCTGTGTCTGCTCTTATTTCCATTAAAATATGTGCAGTCTGTGTCTGCTCTTATTCCCATTAAAATATGTGCAGTCTGTGTCTGCTCTTATTTCCATTAAAATATGTGCAGTCTGTGTCTGCTCTTATTTCCATTAAAATATGTGCAGTCTGTGTCTGCTCATATTTCCATTAAAATATGTGCAGTCTGTGTCTGCTCTTATTCCCATTAAAATATGTGCAGTCTGTGTCTGCTCTTATTTACATTAAAATATGTGCAGTCTGTGTCTGCTCTTATTTACATTAAAATATGTGCAGTCTGTGTCTGCTCTTATTCCCATTAAAATATGTGCAGTCTGTGGCTGCTCATATTTCCATTAAAACTTGGAAATTAAACAAGTGTAGGATGAAGAAAAACTAATAAATCTAAAATTTGTTGACTTTTTGACATAAAACTTGTTGACTTTTTGGCGTAAAACTTTTGACACCAAAACAATATGACTGACTGCATTCTGACCTGTAGTATGTTGACGATCTCGTTAGCTATGGAGTAGATCCAGACCACGGCAACAAAGAAGCCAAGGTATGCAAAGCCCTGCCAATCAAAATAACTAGATCAAACTGTGCTCATTCAACATTAGTCACAACATTTCTGTCTTGTTGAACCTGTAGCCAGTCTACTTTTAAAACTATTTTATTATGAACTATGTATTGTTTTAGATGAACTTACTGTGTGGTAGATGAACTTACTGTGTGGTAGATGAACTTACTGTGTGGTGGATGAACTTACTGTGTGGTAGATGAACTTACTGTGTGGTAGATGAACTTACTGTGTGGTAGATCAACTTACTGTGTGGTAGATCAACTTACTGTGTGGTAGATGAACTTACTGTGTGGTAGATGAACTTACTGTGTGGTAGATGAACTTACTGTGTGGTAGATGAACTTACTGTGTGGTAGATGAACTTACTGTGTGGTGGATGAACTTACTGTGGGGTAGATGAACTTACTGTGGGGTAGATGAACTTACTATGGGGTAGATGAACTTACTGTGTGGTAGATGAACTTACTGTGGGGTAGATGAACTTACTGTGTGGTAGATGAACTTACTGTGTGGTAGATGAACTTACTGTGTGGTAGATGAACTTACTGTGTGGTGGATGAACTTACTGTGGGGTAGATGAACTTACTGTGGGGTAGATGAACTTACTATGGGGTAGATGAACTTACTGTGTGTTAGATGAACTTACTGTGTGGTAGATGAACTTACTGTGTGGTAGATGAACTTACTGTGTGGTAGATGAACTTACTGTGTGGTAGATGAACTTACTGTGGGGTAGATGAACTTACTGTGGGGTAGATGAACTTACTGTGTGGTAGATGAACTTACTGTGTGGTAGATGAACTTACTGTGTGGTAGATGAACTTACTGTGTGGTAGATGGGTCTCTTGTCTCTGTCAGATGTGAAGAATACAATGACAGCGAGTATGGACGTAATGATCATGACCAGTGCGTACACAGGAAACACATTGCCCAACCTCATCAAGCCAACTAGAGGGGAGATAATAAAAGAAATTTGCTCCACCATTTATCTAGAAAGAGCTAGTCCTAAGATTGAGTGATTAAAATGAAAGTGGGGTAACTCTAGGTAAAGATGTTAGAATTGTAGACCTCCTGTAGCAAAGGCTGTAAAGACTGGCCCTGTGAAAACATGGAGGGAGTTAAGCAGCTTGTTCCAGTTCCTCAGGTCATCCTCCCTCCTCTCCTCCCTCCTCTCCTCCGGGCTGGACATCTCTCTGGCTTCATCAACCACGGGGATGGTCAGCTTGAGCACCAGCACCAGGGGGCTCTACAAGTACAGACAGAAAAGTTTGTGAGCACCAGGGGGCTCTACAAGTACAGACAGAAAAGTTTGTGAGCACCAGGGGGCTCTACAAGTACAGACAGAAAAGTTTGTGAGCACCAGGGGGCTCTACAAGTACAGACAGAAAAGTTTGTGAGCACCAACACCAGGGGGCTCTACAAGTACAGACAGAAAAGTTTGTGAGCACCAACACCAGGGGGCTCTACAAGTACAGACAGAAAAGTTTGTGAGCACCAACACCAGGGGGCTCTACAAGTACAGACAGAAAAGTTTGTGAGCACCAGGGGGCTCTACAAGTACAGACAGAAAAGTTTGTGAGCACCAGGGGGCTCTACAAGTACAGACAGAAAAGTTTGTGAGCACCAGGGGGCTCTACAAGTACAGACAGAAAAGTTTGTGAGCACCAGGGGGCTCTACAAGTACAGACAGAAAAGTTTGTGAGCACCAGGGGGCTCTACAAGTACAGACAGAAAAGTTTGTGAGCACCAGGGGGCTCTACAAGTACAGACAGAAAAGTTTGTGAGCACCAGGGGGCTCTACAAGTACAGACAGAAAAGTTTGTGAGCACCAGGGGGCTCTACAAGTACAGACAGAAAAGTTTGTGAGCACCAGGGGGCTCTACAAGTACAGACAGAAAAGTTTGTGAGCACCAGGGGGCTCTACAAGTACAGACAGAAAAGTTTGTGAGCACCAACACCAGGGGGCTCTACAAGTACAGACAGAAAAGTTTGTGAGCACCAGGGGGCTCTACAAGTACAGACAGAAAAGTTTGTGAGCACCAGGGGGCTCTACAAGTACAGACAGAAAAGTTTGTGAGCACCAACACCAGGGGGCTCTACAAGTACAGACAGAAAAGTTTGTGAGCACCAGGGGGCTCTACAAGTACAGACAGAAAAGTTTGTGAGCACCAGGGGGCTCTACAAGTACAGACAGAAAAGTTTGTGAGCACCAGGGGGCTCTACAAGTACAGACAGAAAAGTTTGTGAGCACCAACACCAGGGGGCTCTACAAGTACAGACAGAAAAGTTTGTGAACACCAGGGGGCTCTACAAGTACAGACAGAAAAGTTTGTGAGCACCAGGGGGCTCTACAAGTACAGACAGAAAAGTTTGTGAGCACCAGGGGGCTCTACAAGTACAGACAGAAAAGTTTGTGAGCACCAGGGGGCTCTACAAGTACAGACAGAAAAGTTTGTGAGCACCAGGGGGCTCTACAAGTACAGACAGAAAAGTTTGTGAGCACCAGGGGGCTCTACAAGTACAGACAGAAAAGTTTGTGAGCACCAGGGGGCTCTACAAGTACAGACAGAAAAGTTTGTGAGCACCAGGGGGCTCTACAAGTACAGACAGAAAAGTTTGTGAGCACCAGGGGGCTCTACAAGTACAGACAGAAAAGTTTGTGAGCACCAGGGGGCTCTACAAGTACAGACAGAAAAGTTTGTGAGCACCAACACCAGGGGGCTCTACAAGTACAGACAGAAAAGTTTGTGAGCACCAGGGGGCTCTACAAGTACAGACAGAAAAGTTTGTGAGCACCAGGGGGCTCTACAAGTACAGACAGAAAAGTTTGTGAGCACCAACACCAGGGGGCTCTACAAGTACAGACAGAAAAGTTTGTGAGCACCAACACCAGGGGGCTCTACAAGTACAGACAGAAAAGTTTGTGAGCACCAGGGGGCTCTACAAGTACAGACAGAAAAGTTTGTGAGCACCAACACCAGGGGGCTCTACAAGTACAGACAGAAAAGTTTGTGAGCACCAGGGGGCTCTACAAGTACAGACAGAAAAGTTTGTGAACACCAGGGGGCTCTACAAGTACAGACAGAAAAGTTTGTGAGCACCAACACCAGGGGGCTCTACAAGTACAGACAGAAAAGTTTGTGAACACCAGGGGGCTCTACAAGTACAGACAGAAAAGTTTGTGAGCACCAGGGGGCTCTACAAGTACAGACAGAAAAGTTTGTGAGCACCAGGGGGCTCTACAAGTACAGACAGAAAAGTTTGTGAGCACCAGGGGGCTCTACAAGTACAGACAGAAAAGTTTGTGAGCACCAGGGGGCTCTACAAGTACAGACAGAAAAGTTTGAGCTAGGGGGCTCTACAAGTACAGACAGAAAAGTTTGTGAGCACCAACACCAGGGGGCTCTACAAGTACAGACAGAAAAGTTTGTGAGCACCAGGGGACTCTACAAGTACAGACAGAAAAGTTTGTGAGCACCAGGGGGCTCTACAAGTACAGACAGAAAAGTTTGTGAGCACCAGGGGGCTCTACAAGTACAGACAGAAAAGTTTGTGAGCACCAGGGGGCTCTACAAGTACAGACAGAAAAGTTTGTGAGCACCAGGGGGCTCTACAAGTACAGACAGAAAAGTTTGTGAGCACCAACACCAGGGGGCTCTACAAGTACAGACAGAAAAGTTTGTGAGCACCAACACCAGGGGGCTCTACAAGTACAGACAGAAAAGTTTGTGAGCACCAACACCAGGGGGCTCTACAAGTACAGACAGAAAAGTTTGTGAGCACCAGGGGGCTCTACAAGTACAGACAGAAAAGTTTGTGAGCACCAGGGGGCTCTACAAGTACAGACAGAAAAGTTTGTGAGCACCAACACCAGGGGGCTCTACAAGTACAGACAGAAAAGTTTGTGAGCACCAACACCAGGGGGCTCTACAAGTACAGACAGAAAAGTTTGTGAGCACCAGGGGGCTCTACAAGTACAGACAGAAAAGTTTGTGAGCACCAACACCAGGGGGCTCTACAAGTACAGACAGAAAAGTTTGTGAGCACCAACACCAGGGGGCTCTACAAGTACAGACAGAAAAGTTTGTGAGCACCAGGGGGCTCTACAAGTACAGACAGAAAAGTTTGTGAGCACCAGGGGGCTCTACAAGTACAGACAGAAAAGTTTGTGAGCACCAACACCAGGGGGCTCTACAAGTACAGACAGAAAAGTTTGTGAGCACCAGGGGGCTCTACAAGTACAGACAGAAAAGTTTGTGAGCACCAGGGGACTCTACAAGTACAGACAGAAAAGTTTGTGAGCACCAGGGGGCTCTACAAGTACAGACAGAAAAGTTTGTGAGCACCAGGGGGCTCTACAAGTACAGACAGAAAAGTTTGTGAGCACCAGGGGGCTCTACAAGTACAGACAGAAAAGTTTGTGAGCACCAGGGGGCTCTACAAGTACAGACAGAAAAGTTTGTGAGCACCAGGGGACTCTACAAGTACAGACAGAAAAGTTTGTGAGCACCAGGGGGCTCTACAAGTACAGACAGAAAAGTTTGTGAGCACCAACACCAGGGGGCTCTACAAGTACAGACAGAAAAGTTTGTGAGCACCAACACCAGGGGGCTCTACAAGTACAGACAGAAAAGTTTGTGAGCACCAGGGGACTCTACAAGTACAGACAGAAAAGTTTGTGAGCACCAGGGGGCTCTACAAGTACAGACAGAAAAGTTTGTGAGCACCAACACCAGGGGGCTCTACAAGTACAGACAGAAAAGTTTGTGAACACCAGGGGGCTCTACAAGTACAGACAGAAAAGTTTGTGAGCACCAGGGGGCTCTACAAGTACAGACAGAAAAGTTTGTGAGCACCAGGGGGCTCTACAAGTACAGACAGAAAAGTTTGTGAGCACCAACACTAGGGGGCTCTACAAGTACAGACAGAAAAGTTTGTGAGCACCAGGGGGCTCTACAAGTACAGACAGAAAAGTTTGTGAGCACCAGGGGGCTCTACAAGTACAGACAGAAAAGTTTGTGAGCACCAGGGGGCTCTACAAGTACAGACAGAAAAGTTTGTGAGCACCAGGGGGCTCTACAAGTACAGACAGAAAAGTTTGTGAGCACCAGGGGGCTCTACAAGTACAGACAGAAAAGTTTGTGAGCACCAGGGGGCTCTACAAGTACAGACAGAAAAGTTTGTGAGCACCAACACCAGGGGGCTCTACAAGTACAGACAGAAAAGTTTGTGAGCACCAGGGGGCTCTACAAGTACAGACAGAAAAGTTTGTGAGCACCAGGGGGCTCTACAAGTACAGACAGAAAAGTTTGTGAGCACCAGGGGGCTCTACAAGTACAGACAGAAAAGTTTGTGAGCACCAACACCAGGGGGCTCTACAAGTACAGACAGAAAAGTTTGTGAGCACCAGGGGGCTCTACAAGTACAGACAGAAAAGTTTGTGAGCACCAGGGGGCTCTACAAGTACAGACAGAAAAGTTTGTGAGCACCAGGGGGCTCTACAAGTACAGACAGAAAAGTTTGTGAGCACCAGGGGGCTCTACAAGTACAGACAGAAAAGTTTGTGAGCACCAACACCAGGGGGCTCTACAAGTACAGACAGAAAAGTTTGTGAGCACCAGGGGGCCCTACAAGTACAGACAGAAAAGTTTGTGAGCACCAGGGGGCTCTACAAGTACAGACAGAAAAGTTTGTGAGCACCAGGGGGCTCTACAAGTACAGACAGAAAAGTTTGTGAGCACCAGGGGGCTCTACAAGTACAGACAGAAAAGTTTGTGAGCACCAGGGGGCTCTACAAGTACAGACAGAAAAGTTTGTGAGCACCAGGGGGCTCTACAAGTACAGACAGAAAAGTTTGTGAGCACCAGGGGGCTCTACAAGTACAGACAGAAAAGTTTGTGAGCACCAACACCAGGGGGCTCTACAAGTACAGACAGAAAAGTTTGTGAGCACCAGGGGGCTCTACAAGTACAGACAGAAAAGTTTGGGCTAGGGTAGACAAACTTGTGGTTATAACTTTACACCTTAACTTGAAGCTGTCTGTTTACATTGCTGTAGTTTTTATTCTATTTTAGAGAAAAAATAGCTATTAACTTGATGGATTATAAATTAAAAAAAAAAACTTCTACGCTAAAGTGTGGTTGGACTAAACTCCCAGACACTGACCTTGAAAATTTCGTAGATTTTTCCCAGCAACTTTTTCTCATGCCACGAGCTGACATCGATAGGGTTGACCTCGTACATGAAGTCAGTCAACATGTGCTTGGTGTGGTAGCTGGGCCTGTGGGTCATCTCTAGGGGTGGGGCTTCTATCTCTACCTCAGGGCCACCCCCCACAGATGGGGGTAACAGCGGCTGTCTGACGTCTGCCTCGCCCTGTATGCCAGTGTCAGTTTCTTCAGAGAAAAATGTTACGACAGAGGTGTCATCTTACATTATAAAACACAGACATTTTATCTGATGTTATAACGCACTGGAATTTTTTCTTATCCATCAAATTTTTAAATAATTTACAATCTTAATTATTCAGAGTTAGTTAATTGATAGAGCTTGTAGTCAGTGCATTTTGGTCAAGTTTGTGGTCAGTGTATCTGGTCAAGTTGTGGTCAGTGTATCTGGTCAAGTTTGTGGTTAGTGTATTTAGTCAAGTTTGTGGTCAGTGTATCTGGTCAAGTTTGTGGTCAATGTATTTAGTCAAGTTTGTGGTCAGTGTATTTAGTCAAGTTTGTGGTCAGTGTATCTGGTCAAGTTTGTGGTCAGTGTATCTGGTCAAGTTTGTGGTCAGTGTATCTGGTCAGGTTTGTGGTCAGTGTATCTGGTCAGGTTTGTGGTCAGTGTATCTGGTCAAGTTTGAGGTCAGTGTATCTGGTCAAGTTTGTGGTCAGTGTATCTGGTCAAGTTTGAGGTCAGTGTATCTGGTCAAGTTTGAGGTCAGTGTATCTGGTCAAGTTTGAGGTCAGTGTATCTGGTCAAGTTTGAGGTCAGTGTATCTGGTCAGGTTTGTGGTCAGTGTATCTGGTCAAGTTTGTGGTCAATGTATTTAGTCAAGTTTGTGGTCAGTGTATTTAGTCAAGTTTGTGGTCAGTGTATCTGGTCAAGTTTGTGGTCAGTGTATCTGGTCAGGTTTGTGGTTAGTGTATTTAGTCAAGTTTGTGGTCAGTGTATCTGGTCAAGTTTGTGGTCAGTGTATCTGGTCAAGTTTGTGGTTAGTGTATTTAGTCAAGTTTGTGGTCAGTGTATCTGGTCAAGTTTGTGGTCAGTGTATCTGGTCAAGTTTGTGGTCAATGTATTTAGTCAAGTTTGTGGTCAGTGTATTTAGTCAAGTTTGTGGTCAGTGTATCTGGTCAAGTTTGTGGTCAGTGTATCTGGTCAAGTTTGTGGTCAGTGTATCTGGTCAGGTTTGTGGTCAGTGTATCTGGTCAGGTTTGTGGTCAGTGTATCTGGTCAGGTTTGTGGTCAGTGTATCTGGTCAAGTTTGAGGTCAGTGTATCTGGTCAAGTTTGAGGTCAGTGTATCTGGTCAGGTTTGTGGTCAGTGTATCTGGTCAAGTTTGAGGTCAGTGTATCTGGTCAAGTTTGTGGTCAGTGTATCTGGTCAAGTTTGTGGTCAGTGTATCTGGTCAGGTTTGTGGTCAGTGTATCTGGTAAAATTTGTGGTTGGTGCATCTGGTCAGGTTTGTGGTCAGTGTATCTGGTCAAGTTTGTGTAAACCCACCTGAAAAAAATCCTTGCCGTTTATTTTTTATTTTCTGGTTGATATAGCGCCCAACAATCACAACCAATACATAAACAACATACAAAATGATGAATCCTGAAAATTTAAAAATTAAAAAATGTCAAACTCATTGAGTCGGTTATATAGTAAGTAGTAATTAAAGATGTCCATCATTCAGTCATGCACGTCATGTCTATCATTCAGTCATGCATGTCATGTACATCATTCAGTCATGCATGTCCATCAGTCAGTCATGTCCATCATTCAGTCATGCATGTCATGTCCATCATTCAGTCATGTCCATCATTCAGTCATGCATGTCATGTCAATCAGTCAGTCATGTCCATCATTCAGTCATGTATGTCATGTCCATCATTCAGTCATGTATGTCATGTCCATCATTCAGTCATGTATGTCATGTCCATCATTCAGTCATGTATGTCATGTCCATCAGTCAGTCATGCATGTCATATCCATCATTCAGTCATGTATGTCATGTCCATCATTCAGTCATGCATGTCATGTCCATCAGTCAGTCATGCATGTCATGTCCATCATTCAGTCATGTTCATCATTCAGTCATGCATGTCATGTCCATCAGTCAGTCATGTCCATCAGTCAGTCATGCATGTCATGTCCATCATTCAGTCATGCATGTCATGTCCATCATTCAGTCATGCATGTCATGTCCATCATTCAGTCATGCATGTCATGTCCATCATTCAGTCATGCATGTCATGTCCATCAGTCAGTCATGTCCATCAGTCAGTCATGCATGTCATGTCCATGAGTCAGTCATGCATGTCATGTCCATCATTCAGTCATGCATGTCATGTCCATCATTCAGTCATGCATGACATGTCTATCATTCAGTCATGTATGTCATGTCTGTCATTCAGTCATGTCCATCAGTCAGTCATGCATGTCATATCCATCATTCAGTCATGTATGTCATGTCCATCATTCAGTCATGCATGTCATGTCCATCATTCAGTCATGCGTGTCATGTCCATCAGTCAGTCATGCGTGTCATGTCCATCATTCAGTCATGTTCATCATTCAGTCATGCATGTCATGTCCATCAGTCAGTCATGTCCATCAGTCAGTCATGCATGTCATGTCCATGAGTCAGTCATGCATGTCATGTCCATCATTCAGTCATGCATGTCATGTCCATCATTCAGTCATGCATGACATGTCTATCATTCAGTCATGTATGTCATGTCTGTCATTCAGTCATGTCCATCAGTCAGTCATGCATGTCATATCCATCATTCAGTCATGTATGTCATGTCCATCATTCAGTCATGCATGTCATGTCCATCATTCAGTCATGCATGTCATGTCCATCATTCAGTCATGCGTGTCATGTCCATCAGTCAGTCATGCATGTCCATCAGTCAGTCATGCGTGCTGTGTTTACCTGCTGCCTCCAGTTGTGTGATCTGCTTCTTCCAGAGAACACACCAGACCCAGAAGCAGGCGGCCAGGTAGAAGATGACATCACGCAGGAAGGGGCGGTGCATGCAGTGGAAGGGGTGGATGATGGCGATGGAACCAGCCACTACAGCTGTCACAAACACACCAGCCCCTGACAGATAGACAGACAGACAGACATTATCACACCATCTGCTGACATCTACATCATCACACCATCTGCTGACATTTACATCATCACACCACCAACAGACATCTACATCATCACACCACCAACAGACATCTACATCATCACACTACAGCGGTCACAAACACACCAGCCCCTGACAGATGGATAGACAGACATCACCACACCACCAACTGACATTTACATCATCACCATGCTAGCTGAAAAACTCACCAAACAGCGCTCCCACCGCCATCCCAGCATCCCCTGACTTGGCATTACCAATGGCCGCTATAGCAGAGAAGATGTCAGGTGCACCATTACCAAAGGCCAAAAAGGTTACACCTTTACCAAAGTTAAGGTTATATTCAACTGTCACAAGCTGGTTATATTCAACTGTCACAAACTGGTTGTATTCAACTGTCACAAACTGGTTGTATTCAACTGTCACAAACTGGTTGTATTCAACTGTCACAAACTGGTTGTATTCAACTGTCACAAACTGGTTGTATTCAACTGTCACAAACTGGTTATATTTAACTGTCACAAACTGGTTGTATTCAACTGTCACAAACTGGTTGTATTCAACTGTCACAAACTGGTTGTATTAAACTGTCACAAACTGGTTGTATTCAACTGTCACAAACTGGTTATATTCAATTGTCACAAACTGGTTGTATTCAACTGTCACAAACTGGTTGTATTCAACTGTCACAAACTGGTTGTATTCAACTGTCACAAACTGGTTGTATTCAACTGTCACAAACTGGTTGTATTCAACTGTCACAAACTGGTTGTATTCAACTGTCACAAACTGGTTGTATTCAACTGTCACAAACTGGTTGTATTCAACTGTCACAAACTGGTTATATTCAACTGTCACAAACTGGTTATATTCAACTGTCACAAACTGGTTGTATTCAACTGTCACAAACTGGTTGTATTCAACTGTCACAAACTGGTTGTATTCAACTGTCACAAACTGGTTGTGTTCAACTGTCACAAACTGGTTATATTCAACTGTCACAAACTGGTTGTATTCAACTGTCACAAACTGGTTGTATTCAACTGTCACAAACTGGTTGTATTCAACTGTCACAAACTGGTTGTATTCAACTGTCACAAACTGGTTGTATTCAACTGTCACAAACTGGTTATATTTAACTGTCACAAACTGGTTGTATTCAACTGTCACAAACTGGTTGTATTCAACTGTCACAAACTGGTTATATTCAACTGTCACAAACTGGTTGTATTCAACTGTCACAAACTGGTTATATTCAACTGTCACAAACTGGTTGTATTCAACTGTCACAAACTGGTTGTATTCAACTGTCACAAACTGGTTGTATTCAACTGTCACAAACTGGTTGTATTCAACTGTCACAAACTGGTTGTATTCAACTGTCACAAACTGGTTGTATTCAACTGTCACAAACTGGTTGTATTCAACTGTCACAAACTGGTTGTATTCAACTGTCACAAACTGGTTGTATTCAACTGTCACAAACTGGTTATATTCAACTGTCACAAACTGGTTATATTCAACTGTCACAAACTGGTTGTATTCAACTGTCACAAACTGGTTGTATTCAACTGTCACAAACTGGTTGTATTCAACTGTCACAAACTGGTTGTGTTCAACTGTCACAAACTGGTTATATTCAACTGTCACAAACTGGTTGTATTCAACTGTCACAAACTGGTTGTATTCAACTGTCACAAACTGGTTGTATTCAACTGTCACAAACTGGTTGTGTTCAACTGTCACAAACTGGTTATATTCAACTGTCACAAACTGGTTGTATTCAACTGTCACAAACTGGTTGTATTCAACTGACACAAACTGGTTATATTCAACTGTCACAAACTGGTTGTATTCAACTGTCACAAACTGGTTGTATTCAACTGTCACAAACTGGTTGTGTTCAACTGTCACAAACTGGTTGTATTCAACTGTCACAAACTGGTTGTATTCAACTGTCACAAACTGGTTGTATTCAACTGTCACAAACTGGTTGTATTCAACTGTCACAAACTGGTTGTATTTAACTGTCACAAACTGGTTGTATTCAACTGTCACAAACTGGTTGTATTCAACTGTCACAAACTGGTTGTATTCAACTGTCACAAACTGGTTGTATTCAACTGTCACAAACTGGTTGTATTCAACTGTCACAAACTGGTTGTATTCAACTGTCACAAACTGGTTGTATTCAACTGTCACAAACTGGTTGTATTCAACTGACACAAACTGGTTGTATTCAACTGACACAAACTGGTTGTATTCAACTGACACACTTTAATCAAATTTTATAAATGTTAATGTTTAATGGGACATACAGTTTTTTTACACAATTTAAGATCTGAAGCCTATAAAGACTTTTACCTTGTTGGGCATATGAAAACTAAAGGATATTGTCTTAGATATGAAAGGATATTGTGTTAAAAGTGTGTTTAGATATGAAAGGATATTGTGTTAAAAGTGTGTTTAGATATGAAAGGATATTGTGTTAAATGTGTGTTTAGATATAAAAGGATATTGTGTTAAAAGTGTGTTTAGATATAAAAGGATATTGTGTTAAAAGTGTGTTAAAAAGGATATTGTGTTAAAAGTGTGTTAAAAAGGATATTGCAACGTTGTGGCTGAGCTTCAAACTTTGGGAGATCACAGCCAGAGAAGGACAGAAGCTGAAACATCAGATGTAAAGCAACATCAAAATAAGACAACAAATGATGTCAACATCACAGACTGAAACATCAGATGTAAAGCAACATCACAAGCTGACAACAAATGATGTCAAACATCAAAGACTGAAACATCAGATGTAAAGCAACATCAAAATAAGACAACAAATGATGTCAAACATCAAAGACCGACACAATAAATTTTAAACTTTGCAACTCTGCTGGTGTATGATAAACCTTCTCTAAAACTGCAGAAGCTAAAAATTTAAATTTACATGCATGACCAGTTAATTGATTTCCTATCTTACTGAATTTAGTCTTTTTAAATAAGATAATTAACCAAAGTAATTAGTTTGTTATCTTAAATAACACAATCTAAACCTTGCATATGTAATGTTGGACCTTGCTACTTCAAATCAAGAAAACATGATGAAATATTTTCAGCAAAGAAATCTTCACGTTCTACTTACAATTCATCAGCTGTTGTAGCCAATCCACAAAACAGAAATAGCCACCAAATGCCCTGTAAATAAAGGAAGTTTTTGTTATTGAAATGTATTAATCTGATATAAATCTGATAAAACATTCTCAATTTTAAAATGGCTGCTACTGGCAGATGTTCTGTCATGATATATGATAAAATATATCCATGGTATAAAACAAAAACCTGACTATTTTCAATAAAAATAGTACCTGGCAACTCTTATAATAACAATACGTCCAAATGTACAAAAAAATCTGGCCACATTTTGCAAGAATATCTGGCTACATCAACAAAATAATCTGGCAACACAAATAAAATTTTGCCAAATTTACAAAAAATCTGGCCATACAAATAAAATCTGGCCATACAAATAAAATCTGGCCATACAAATAAAATCTGGCCATACAAATAAAATCTGGCCATACAAATAAAATCTGGCCATACAAATAAAATCTGGCAATACAAATAAAATCTGGCCATACAAATAAAATCTGGCCATACAAATAAAATCTGGCCATACAAATAAAATCTGGCCATACAAATAAAATCTGGCTACATCAACAAAATAATCTGCCCATACAAATAAAATCTGGCCATACAAATAAAATCTGGCCATACAAATAAAATCTGGCAATACAAATAAAATCTGGCCATACTTACAATAACAATACAAGCGGCCCAGACTGGGATGGCAGAGAGAGTGCAGTAGAGAAACTGTATGTAGTTGACAAAGCCTTCATCTATCTGACACGAGTCTGTACTTTTGACAAACCCACAAACATCCGTCAGATTTGGGATGTGGTGGAGCTGGTTGCACTGAAACAATCAACAATCAGGAATCAAAGACTCTCTCTGTTAGCCACATTTCTCCCCATGGTTCCAGGGGCAGGGAAACTTTCAGAAAATATTTATTAACTTACATCAAGATCAGAGTCTGACATTGTTATCTCCCCTTGTTGACCTGGAACAAATGTAAACAAAACTTTAAAAAACCTAAACAAATGATGAGCATGTGAGTTGTGGAACAAATTGGTCACTTCAAGATTTTCTACTGGTGTAGCGCTGTGATTCTCTGGCCACTCCAGTACTCTATCTACTGGTGTAGCGCTGTGGTCTCAAATTCTCTAGCTAAACTCCAGTACTCTATCTACAGTAACTATTGTATCTCTTGGCTTGTATCTATATTCAATATGCTAATTATATATATCACAACATCATTATTAACTTCCTCATTATAAAAACATTCTATCCTAATATAAGTTTGTGTACAACATTTTGTCTTTGTATAACTATAACATCATTCTAAATGTCTACTAGAGGCAAACTTAAACTAGACATAAATAGTTTGACTTCCTGCAATCAAGATTTATGCAGAATAGAAGCCAACCTCTTGTATGACAATAAAACTTGTGTAAAGAATAGGCCCTGAACTCTTGTATGACAATAAAACCTGCATTCAACTTTAGACAAGGCCCATCCGGAGTTACCTTACACATAAACAAGTCAATCATACCAAAGCTTAACTATATCCAACCTAACAAATCATACCAAAGCTTAACTGTATCCAACCTAACAAATCATACCAAAGCTTAACTGTATCCAACCTAACAAATCATACCAAAGCTTAACTGTATCCAACCTAACAAATCATACCAAAGCTTAACTGTATCCAACCTAACAAATCATACCAAAGCTTAACTGTATCCAACCTAACAAATCATACCAAAGCTTAACTGTATCCAACCTAACAAATCATACCAAAGCTTAACTGTATCCAACCTAACAAATCATACCAAAGCTTAAATATATCCAACCTAACAAATCATAACAAAGCTTAACTATATCCAACCTAACAAATCATACCAAAGCTTAACTGTATCCAACCGAACAAATCATACCAAAGCTTAAATATATCCAACCTAACAAATCATAACAAAGCTTAACTATATCCAACCTAACAAATCATACCAAAGCTTAACTATATCCAACGTAACAAATCATACCAAAGCTTAACTGTATCCAACCTAACAAATCATACCAAAGCTTAAATATATCCAACCTAACAAATCATAACAAAGCTTAACTATATCCAACCCTAACAAATCATAACAAAGCTTAACTATATCCAACCTAACAAATCATAACAAAGCTTAACTTTATCCAACCTAACAAATCATAACAAAGCTTAACTGTATCCAACCTAACAAATCATAACAAAGCTTAACTGTATCCAACCTAACAAATCATACCAAAGCTTAACTATATCCAACCTAACTAATCATAACAAAGCTTAACTATATCCAACCTAACAAATCATAACAAACCCTAACAATAACCAACTAAAACAAACTAAAAAGCTAGACTGTAACCAGACTAAAAAAAAAACCTACCTGTAGCCACAGACAGACAGACAAACAAACAAACAAAGAAGAACTAAAGAGATCACACACAGCACCTAGCTTACAATGAAAGAGAGGGTAGCTGGATTTCTCCAATTACTGAAATTCAATCGCATCCTGTTTCACTTCAAGCACCCACTTCACTTATCTCCAACTTCAAAAATTCCTGTTACATTCTATGTTGAAACAAAATTAATCCTTCAAATGTTAACAAAATTAATCCTTGACATGTTAACAAAATTAATCCTTCACATGTTAACAAAACTAATCCTTCACATTTTAACAAAATTAATCCTTCACATTTTAACAAAATTAATCCTTCACATTTTAACAAAATTAATCCTTCACATTTTAACAAAATTAATCCTTCACATTTTAACAAAATTAATCCTTCACATTTTAACAAAATTCATCCTTCACATTTTAACAAAACTCATCCTTCACATTTTAACAAAACTAATCCTTCAAATTTTAACAAAACTAATCCTTCACATTTTAACAAAACTAATCCTTCACATGTTAACAAAACTCATCCTTCACTTCAACTATTTCTCTTTTATTCATGCATATTGTTAACTTGTCAAAATAAAATGTCAAATTTTTTAACTTCTAATTTTAACCAGCTTTGCTTCAGTTTTTACTGAGGCAACTACCCCCCCCCCCCCCAGCAAGTTGGGAACCATTTAACTGTCAATAAAACAGGTGATGTATGGGAAACATTTAACTGTCAATAAAACAGGTGATGTATATGTAGGTATATAAAACCAGAACACCTGCAACAGGTGATGTATATGTAGGTATATAAAACCAGGACACCTGCAACAGGTGATGTATATGTAGGTATATAAAACCAGGACACCTGCAACAGGTGATGTATATGTAGGTATATAAAACCAGGACACCTGCAACAGGTGATGTATATGTAGGTATATAAAACCAGGACACCTGCAACAGGTGATGTATATGTAGGTATATAAAACCAGAACACCTGCAACAGGTGATGTATATGTAGGTATATAAAACCAGGACACCTGCAACAGGTGATGTATATGTAGGTATATAAAACCAGGACACCTGCAACAGGTGATGTATATGTAGGTATATAAAACCAGAACACCTGCAACAGGTGATGTATATGTAGGTATATAAAACCAGGACACCTGCAACAGGTGATGTATATGTAGGTATATAAAACCAGAACACCTGCAACAGGTGATGTATATGTAGGTATATAAAACCAGGACACCTGCAACAGGTGATGTATATGTAGGTATATAAAACCAGGACACCTGCAACAGGTGATGTATATGTAGGTATATAAAACCAGGACACCTGCAACAGGTGATGTATATGTAGGTATATAAAACCAGAACACCTGCAACAGGTGATGTATATGTAGGTATATAAAACCAGGACACCTGCAACAGGTGATGTATATGTAGGTATATAAAACCAGGACACCTGCAACAGGTGATGTATATGTAGGTATATAAAACCAGGACACCTGCAACAGGTGATGTATATGTAGGTATATAAAACCAGAACACCTGCAACAGGTGATGTATATGTAGGTATATAAAACCAGGACACCTGCAACAGGTGATGTATATGTAGGTATATAAAACCAGGACACCTGCAACAGGTGATGTATATGTAGGTATATAAAACCAGGACACCTGCAACAGGTGATGTATATGTAGGTATATAAAACCAGGACACCTGCAACAGGTGATGTATATGTAGGTATATAAAACCAGGACACCTGCAACAGGTGATGTATATGTAGGTATATAAAACCAGGACACCTGCAACAGGTGATGTATATGTAGGTATATAAAACCAGAACACCTGCAACAGGTGATGTATATGTAGGTATATAAAACCAGGACACCTGCAACAGGTGATGTATATGTAGGTATATAAAACCAGGACACCTGCAACAGGTGATGTATATGTAGGTATATAAAACCAGGACACCTGCAACAGGTGATGTATATGTAGGTATATAAAACCAGGACACCTGCAACAGGTGATGTATATGTAGGTATATAAAACCAGGACACCTGCAACAGGTGATGTATATGTAGGTATATAAAACCAGAACACCTGCAACCTAAAACAGGTGATGTATATGTAGGTATATAAAACCAGGACACCTGCAACCTAAAACAGGTGATGTATATGTAGGTATATAAAACCAGGACACCTGCAACAGGTGATGTATATGTAGGTATATAAAACCAGGACACCTGCAACAGGTGATGTATATGTAGGTATATAAAACCAGGACACCTGCAACAGGTGATGTATATGTAGGTATATAAAACCAGGACACCTGCAACAGGTGATGTATATGTAGGTATATAAAACCAGAACACCTGCAACAGGTGATGTATATGTAGGTATATAAAACCAGGACACCTGCAACAGGTGATGTATATGTAGGTATATAAAACCAGGACACCTGCAACAGGTGATGTATATGTAGGTATATAAAACCAGGACACCTGCAACAGGTGATGTATATGTAGGTATATAAAACCAGGACACCTGCAACAGGTGATGTATATGTAGGTATATAAAACCAGGACACCTGCAACAGGTGATGTATATGTAGGTATATAAAACCAGAACACCTGCAACCTAAAACAGGTGATGTATATGTAGGTATATAAAACCAGGACACCTGCAACCTAAAACAGGTGATGTATATGTAGGTATATAAAACCAGGACACCTGCAACAGGTGATGTATATGTAGGTATATAAAACCAGGACACCTGCAACAGGTGATGTATATGTAGGTATATAAAACCAGGACACCTGCAACAGGTGATGTATATGTAGGTATATAAAACCAGGACACCTGCAACAGGTGATGTATATGTAGGTATATAAAACCAGGACACCTGCAACAGGTGATGTATATGTAGGTATATAAAACCAGGACACCTGCAACAGGTGATGTATATGTAGGTATATAAAACCAGGACACCTGCAACAGGTGATGTATATGTAGGTATATAAAACCAGGACACCTACAACAGGTGATGTATATGTAGGTATATAAAACCAGGACACCTGCAACAGGTGATGTATATGTAGGTATATAAAACCAGAACACCTGCAACAGGTGATGTATATGTAGGTATATAAAACCAGGACACCTGCAACAGGTGATGTATATGTAGGTATATAAAACCAGAACACCTGCAACAGGTGATGTATATGTAGGTATATAAAACCAGAACACCTGCAACAGGTGATGTATATGTAGGTATATAAAACCAGGACACCTGCAACAGGTGATGTATATGTAGGTATATAAAACCAGAACACCTGCAACAGGTGATGTATATGTAGGTATATAAAACCAGAACACCTGCAACAGGTGATGTATATGTAGGTATATAAAACCAGGACACCTGCAACAGGTGATGTATATGTAGGTATATAAAACCAGGACACCTGCAACCTAAAACAGGTGATGTATATGTAGGTATATAAAACCAGGACACCTGCAACAGGTGATGTATATGTAGGTATATAAAACCAGGACACCTGCAACAGGTGATGTATATGTAGGTATATAAAACCAGGACACCTGCAACAGGTGATGTATATGTAGGTATATAAAACCAGGACACCTGCAACAGGTGATGTATATGTAGGTATATAAAACCAGGACACCTGCAACAGGTGATGTATATGTAGGTATATAAAACCAGAACACCTGCAACAGGTGATGTATATGTAGGTATATAAAACCAGGACACCTGCAACAGGTGATGTATATGTAGGTATATAAAACCAGGACACCTGCAACAGGTGATGTATATGTAAGTATATAAAACCAGGACACCTGCAACAGGTGATGTATATGTAGGTATATAAAACCAGGACACCTGCAACAGGTGATGTATATGTAGGTATATAAAACCAGAACACCTGCAACAGGTGATGTATATGTAGGTATATAAAACCAGGACACCTGCAACAGGTGATGTATATGTAGGTATATAAAACCAGGACACCTGCAACCTAAAACAGGTGATGTATATGTAGGTATATAAAACCAGGACACCTGCAACAGGTGATGTATATGTAGGTATATAAAACCAGGACACCTGCAACAGGTGATGTATATGTAGGTATATAAAACCAGGACACCTGCAACAGGTGATGTATATGTAGGTATATAAAACCAGGACACCTGCAACAGGTGATGTATATGTAGGTATATAAAACCAGAACACCTGCAACAGGTGATGTATATGTAGGTATATAAAACCAGGACACCTGCAACAGGTGATGTATATGTAGGTATATAAAACCAGGACACCTGCAACAGGTGATGTATATGTAGGTATATAAAACCAGAACACCTGCAACAGGTGATGTATATGTAGGTATATAAAACCAGGACACCTGCAACAGGTGATGTATATGTAGGTATATAAAACCAGGACACCTGCAACAGGTGATGTATATGTAGGTATATAAAACCAGAACACCTGCAACAGGTGATGTATATGTAGGTATATAAAACCAGAACACCTGCAACAGGTGATGTATATGTAGGTATATAAAACCAGGACACCTGCAACAGGTGATGTATATGTAGGTATATAAAACCAGAACACCTGCAACAGGTGATGTATATGTAGGTATATAAAACCAGAACACCTGCAACAGGTGATGTATATGTAGGTATATAAAACCAGGACACCTGCAACAGGTGATGTATATGTAGGTATATAAAACCAGAACACCTGCAACAGGTGATGTAAATGTAGGTATATAAAACCAGGACACCTGCAACAGGTGATGTATATGTAGGTATATAAAACCAGAACACCTGCAACAGGTGATGTATATGTAGGTATATAAAACCAGGACACCTGCAACAGGTGATGTATATGTAGGTATATAAAACCAGAACACCTGCAACAGGTGATGTATATGTAGGTATATAAAACCAGGACACCTGCAACAGGTGATGTATATGTAGGTATATAAAACCAGGACACCTGCAACAGGTGATGTATATGTAGGTATATAAAACCAGAACACCTGCAACAGGTGATGTATATGTAGGTATATAAAACCAGGACACCTGCAACAGGTGATGTATATGTAGGTATATAAAACCAGGACACCTGCAACAGGTGATGTATATGTAGGTATATAAAACCAGGACACCTGCAACAGGTGATGTATATGTAGGTATATAAAACCAGGACACCTGCAACAGGTGATGTATATGTAGGTATATAAAACCAGAACACCTGCAACAGGTGATGTATATGTAGGTATATAAAACCAGGACACCTGCAACAGGTGATGTATATGTAGGTATATAAAACCAGGACACCTGCAACAGGTGATGTATATGTAGGTATATAAAACCAGAACACCTGCAACAGGTGATGTATATGTAGGTATATAAAACCAGGACACCTGCAACCTTCCTGTGACGTCTGTCACACTTGGGTGCTTCCACTTGCTTCTAGCCTAACCTTTGACCTTTATCTGGCGAGGGCCATCGCTATGGAAGAAAAAAAAAATAAAAACATAAATTCACTTGGCATTGATGGTCACTGCGATAAATAACCTAAAGAACACAGTGTCATCTTAATGTATGATATTAATATTGGGGGGGGGGGGGGGGGGCAGTGCTGGGACCAAACTAAAAATCTCTAATGTTTCAACACACAAAATGATGACTATAAACGTTTTTTTAAACGTCATTTTAACATGCTTAACAATTTACAAAAGTAAACTATTTTAATCATTTCAGTCAAGTTACTTAATAAAGTTCTATTTTAATCGTTTCAGTCAAGTTACTTAATAAAGTTCTATATTTATTATTTCAGTCAAGTTACTTAATAAAGTTCGATTTAACATGTCTGGTAAGCCTAGTATATCAACATAAAGCTTCATAATAAAACCAGTCTTCACCTAAACCATTATATCCTGTTTGTATTTGTATTGTCTATGTTATGCCTACATTCTTCAGTGCAGTCTGATAGTAGTTAGATATCTAGTAGCAATTGATAAGTAAACACCATCTAAAAATAGAAGACATGCTATTTCTACCGTGTCATTTCAATCAGCAACATCTACTACTAGAGTGTGTACGTAACATGTCCTACAAGAGTGAGTACGTTACAATACTTAAACAGTGTAGACGACACAGCGTATGTTCCACTGCTGGGGACTATCCATGAGTTGATCCACGTGGAGTTAAGAAAAAATGTGATTGAAGCGGATGTCGTGTGTAAGTAACAGGGAAAAAACCCAGATGGAGACGCCCCTTCTAGGATACAGCTATTATTATGAACAAGTCAAACGTTAAGACCGTATGGATGTAGTCTGATGTAGTCAGCTGGCAAGGGAAAACCCAGCATCCTGGTTGGTGAAACACACACACACAGACACACACACACACACAGACAGATGTAAACTGGTAGTAATGGATGAGGTCATGGTGGTGGTCATGGACACGGGAATTGGTTGTGGTAGTTGTCGCGACATAGTGGTAGTTGTGACAGTATTGATAGATACATGAGGTAGTGATGTAGTAGTCGGTAGTGATCTAACGTGAGGTAGTGATGCAGTAGTTGGTAGTGATCTAGCGTGAGGTAATGATGCAGTAGTCGGTAGTGATCTAACGTGAGGTAGTGATGCAGTAGTCGGTAGTGATCTAACGTGAGGTAGTGATGCAGTAGTCGGTAGTGATCTAACGTGAGGTAATGATGCAGTAGTTGGTAGTGATCTAACGTGAGGTAGTGATGCAGTAGTCGGTAGTGATCTGGTAGTGGTAGGCTTGTTAGTGACATGGTGGTCAAGGTGTGGTAATGGTTGTGAGGCGACGGTCGTGGTCGTGAGGCGACGGTCGTGAGGTGACGGTCGTGAGGCGACGGTCGTGGTCGTGAGGCGACGGTCGTGGTCGTGAGGCGACGGTCGTGGCCGTGAGGCGACGGTCGTGGTCGTCAGGCGACGGTCGTGAGGCGACGGTCGTGGTCGTGAGGCGACGGTCGTGGTTGTGAGGCGACGGTCGTGAGGCGACGGTCGTGGTCGTGAGGCGACGGTCGTGAGGCGACGGTCGTGAGGCGACGGTCGTGGTCGTGAGGCGACGGTCGTGAGGCGACGGTCGTGAGGCGACGGTCGTGGTCGTGAGGCGACGGTCGTGAGGCGACGGTCGTGGTCGTGAGGCGACGGTCGTGGTCATGAGGCGACGGTCGTGAGGCGACGGTCGTGTCGTGAGGCGACGGTCGTGGTCGTGAGGCGACGGTCGTGAGGCGACGGTCGTGGTCGTGAGGCGACGGTCGTGGTCATGAGGTCGTGGTCGTGAGGCGACGGTCGTGTCGTGAGGCGACGGTCGTGAGGCGACGGTCGTGGTCGTGAGGCGACGGTCGTGGTCGTGAGGCGACGGTCGTGAGGCGACGGTCGTGGTCGTGAGGCGACGGTCGTGGTCGTGAGGCGACGGTCGTGGTCGTGAGGCGACGGTCGTGAGGCGACGGTCGTGGTCGTGAGGCGACGGTCGTGAGGCGACGGTCGTGGTCGTGAGGCGACGGTCGTGGTCGTGGGGCGACGGTCGTGGTCGTGAGGCGACGGTCGTGGTCGTGAGGCGACGGTCGTGGTCGTGAGGCGACGGTCGTGGTCGTGAGGCGACGGTCGTGGTCGTGTGGCGACGGTCGTGAGGCGACGGTCGAGACCCTACCAGTGTTGAAGTATGTGACTAGAGGAGATTGCTGAAACACGTCACATTTCAAATCATTTGCTTGAGTGAACAGCGTCTCGCCCCCCCCCCCCCCTTCCAAAAAAAAACCCCAACCCAGCTGTGCAAAGGTCAAAGATCAAGCATAGATTGTGTTGTTACACCAGGTGCCACAAGAAGGGGAAGGAAAAGTTGGGCAAGTCTCACGTGAACACGCCAGTCTGTCCCCGCAGTCTAGACACAAAGCTTGTTTACCGTCACGTGTTCAACACACGCAGGCTGTGCTATACATAGAACTAGACGCCTAATACTCATGTTTCATGTAAACAAGTTACGGTTGGGTAGATCACAGGTTGTGTCCTGGTTTTGAGTAGTCGCCCCTGTTCTATATGTGCAGCCAATATTGGGAGAGTTACTGGTGGAGGGGGGGGGGGGGGGTTGTGGTGGAGGGGGGGTAATTATTGGCGAAGGGAGGAGTTTATGGGGGAGGGGATAGTAAGTGGCTGACGGAGTTGGTAACAGTGGTGTAGCGGTAGTTACGGGTATGGGTTAGTTGCTAGTACGTAAGGGTAGTCTGGCATAGATACAAGACCTGAGCACGACAGTAGTTGCTAGTACGTGAGGGTAGTCTGACATAGATACAAGACCTGAGCACGAGACTAGTTGCTAGTACGTGAGGGTAGTCTGACATAGATACAAGACCTGAGCACGAGACTAGTTGCTAGTACGTGAGGGTAGTCTGACATAGATACAAGACCTGAACACGACACTAGTTGCTAGTACGTGAGTGTAGTCTGACATAGATACAAGACCTGAACTCGACACTAGTTGCTAGTACGTGAGGGTAGTCTGACATAGATACAAGACCTGAACTCGACACTAGTTGCTAGTACGTGAGGGTAGTCTGACATAGATACAAGACCTGAACTCGACACTAGTTGCTAGTACGTGAGGGTAGTCTGACATAGATACAAGACCTGAACACGACACTAGTTGCTAGTACGTGAGGGTAGTCTGACATAGATACAAGACCTGAACTCGACACTAGTTGCTAGTACGTGAGGGTAGTCTGACATAGATACAAGACCTGAACTCGACACTAGTTGCTAGTACGTGAGGGTAGTCTGACATAGATACAAGACCTGAACTCGACACTAGTTGCTAGTACGTGAGGGTAGTCTGACATAGATACAAGACCTGAACACGACACTAGTTGCTAGTACGTGAGGGTAGTCTGACATAGATACAAGACCTGAACACGACACTAGTTGCTAGTACGTGAGGGTAGTCTGACATAGATACAAGACCTGAACTCGACACTAGTTGCTAGTACGTGAGGGTAGTCTGACATAGATACAAGACCTGAACACGACACTAGTTGCTAGTACGTGAGGGTAGTCTGACATAGATACAAGACCTGAACACGACACTAGTTGCTAGTACGTGAGGGTAGTCTGACATAGATACAAGACCTGAACTCGACACTAGTTGCTAGTACGTGAGGGTAGTCTGACATAGATACAAGACCTGAACACGACACTAGTTGCTAGTACGTGAGGGTAGTCTGACATAGATACAAGACCTGAACACGACACTAGTTGCTAGTACGTGAGGGTAGTCTGAAATAGATACAAGACCTGAGCACGACACTAGTTGCTAGTACGTGAGGGTAGTCTGACATAGATACAAGACCTGAACACGACACTAGTTGCTAGTACGTGAGGGTAGTCTGACATAGATACAAGACCTGAGCACGACACTAGTTGCTAGTACGTGAGGGTAGTCTGACATAGATACAAGACCTGAACACGACACTAGTTGCTAGTACGTGAGGGTAGTCTGACATAGATACAAGACCTGAGCACGACACTATACCTTGGTATTATCGTGGGGAATCTTATACAGACGTACACATTGAAAACACAGAACCACGCATAACATGGGGTGGAAAGTCACCAGAACTACACCCAACATAAAGTCACCATACAACTACACCCAACATAAAGTCACCATACAACTACACCCAACATAAAGTCACCATACAACTACACCCAACATAAAGTCACCATACAACATAACTTACTCGAGCCGAGATATCCAACAACAAGCTGTCAACGAGCAGGCCCTCAACACGTGTAGACACAGAAGACACACCATGAGACACACCATGAGACACAACCATGAGACACAACAGAAAACAGCCAACAACTAGACTAGACTAGAGCTAGTGTATGATGTACCGCCTGAGTCCCGCGAGCTGGCCCTGCTGGACGATGTTTGAACACAGCCAGTTTATCTCACTCAGATACCAGGATAAGATAACCCAGCGTGACGTCAGCCATGTCACACGGGACACGGGGTGTCGCGTCACTCTGAGGGGAGGGGGGGGGCCACGTCTGCTTTAAAACTGGCGGCGGGAAAAGTTTAGTCGACGGTGAACATTGGAATGTAAATTCTATGCGCATTCATCTTTCGAATGTGAGTACTGTCTTTCGGTTTCCAGAAAGATGAGCAAAATTCCCAACTGAAAAATGCGCAAAAAAACTGCGCAACGGAAACATGCAAACAGAAACACGCACACAATGCGCATTTTTCTATGTGTGCACATTTTTGTATGCGCACTTTTCTACTTGTACATTTTTCTGCGTGCGCATTTTCTGCTTACGCATTTTTCAGTTGCGCCTTTTTTTGCGCGCAGTTTTCAGTTGCGCCTTTTATGCGCGCAGTTTTCAGTTGCGCCTTTTATGCGCGCAGTTTTCAGTTGCGCCTTTTTTGCGCGCAGTTTTCAGTTGCGCCTTTTATGCGCTCAGTTTTCAGTTGCGCCTTTTATGCGCGCAGTTTTCAGTTGCGCCTTTTATGCGCGCAGTTTTCAGTTGCGCATGTTTCCCTTGCGCACCTTTCTGGCCATCCTCCCTTTCGCACGTGGGATAAAGTGAGCTTTTCAAACTATAAAAAAAACCTAGTATAGATATACGACAAATTCACGTTTCTTTATACACGCGACTAATTTCAATTTGCATTCTATTTTTACAGCAGGCTGCCAATAATGATTTGCCTAAACAATTTAAAAACACAAGTATTGTCCAGATACATCTGTGTAGTGGTGGTTAAATCGTCACACACTAAAACATTCATCTGGTGTGGTTTATAGCAGCTGGTAATTTTACTTCTCTACGGATGGTGTGGCTGGTTGCATTTCATAACACCCTCATCATGCCACGGGGCGGGGCTGTCAACCACGTGACACTATCGCTGATGACGTAGCTGCTGACTTTCGACATCCCTTTCAGCGGGATGAGTACGGTATTTGTAAGCTCACACAAAAGGCCGGCGTGTCCTGACGACGGGGGCGCCTCCATGAAAACTAGACAAGCCTCGGTAAACCAACCACACACGACCCTTACTACAACCAATGGCACCCAGACGACGGGGGCGCCTCCATGAAAACTAGACAAGCCTCGGTAAACCAACCACACACGACCCTTACTACACCCAATGGCACCCAGACGACGGGGGCGCCTCCATGAAAACTAGACAAGCCTCGGTAAACCAACCACACACGACCCTTACTACACCCAATGGCACCCAGACGACGGGGGCGCCTCCATGAAAACTAGACAAGCCTCGGTAAACCAACCACACACGACCCTTACTACACCCAATGGCACCCCCTTCAAGATGTCTGACAGTTTTGATTTATTTGTTTACTTTGTCACCAAGCACGAGACAAACGTTAGAGGAAGTTATCACTGATCGAACCTCTTGGTATTTGAGTCACGTCCAACATTTCGTAAGGCGTGCACGTGCAGCACAAGTACTCATGTCACGTGATCTGACGACACCCCAGTCAACACAAACATTTGTACTGTACCAACCGTCATGTCACGTGATCTAACGACACCCCAGTCAACACAAACATTTGTACTGTACCAACCCTCACCAACTTTAAACACTCCCCACACCAACACTTAACACTCCCCACATCCACACTAAACACTCCCCACACCCACACTAAACACTCCCCTCACCAACACTAACCTTATATCCCACATCCACACTAACCTTATATCCCACATCCACACTAACCTTACATCCCACATCCACACTAACCTTATATCCCACATCCACACTAACATTATATCCCACATCCACACTAATCTTACATCCCACATCCACACTAACCTTACATCCCACATCCACACTAACCTTACATCCCACATCCACACTAACCTTACATCCCACATCCACACTAACCTTACATCCCACATCCACACTAACCTTACATCCCACATCCACACTAACCTTACATCCCACATCCACACTAACCTTACATCCCACATCCACACTAACCTTACATCCCACATCCACACTAACCTTACATCCCACATCCACACTAACCTTACATCCCACATCCACACTAACCTTACATCCCACATCCACACTAACCTTACATCCCACATCCACACTAACCTTACATCCCACATCCACACTAACCTTACATCCCACATCCACACTAACCTTACATCCCACATCCACACTAACCTTACATCCCACATCCACACTAACCTTACATCCCACATCCACACTAACCTTACATCCCACATCCACACTAACCTTACATCCCACATCCACACTAACCTTACATCCCACATCCACACTAACCTTACATCCCACATCCACACTAACCTTACATCCCACATCCACACTAACCTTACATCCCACATCCACACTAACCTTACATCCCACATCCACACTAACCTTACATCCCACATCCACACTAACCTTACATCCCACATCCACACTAACCTTACATCCCACATCCACACTAACCTTACATCCCACATCCACACTAACCTTACATCCCACATCCACACTAACCTTACATCCCACATCCACACTAACCTTACATCCCACATCCACACTAACCTTACATCCCACATCCACACTAACCTTACATCCCACATCCACACTAACCTTACATCCCACATCCACACTAACCTTACATCCCACATCCACACTAACCTTACATCCCATATCCACACTAACCTTACATCCCACATCCACACTAACCTTACATCCCACATCCACACTAAACTTACATCCCACATCCACACTAACCTTACATCCCACATCCACACTAACCTTACATCACACATCCACACTAACCTTAGATATACAGCATACAGTTGTCTTGTGAGGCTTTGAGCCCAGCTTCTAGACCTACTGCCATGGTGTTGATTTGTGGTCCATGTAATGTGGTCCATGCAATGTGGTCCAATAAATGTGGTCCATGAAATGTGGTCCATGAAATGTGGTCCATAAAATGTGGTCCATAATAATGTGGTCCTTAAATCAACACAGTTCCATGCCTTAGCACTATGTGATGTGTTCAACTGTCTTGTCAGACATACTCATGTCTGCCTATTGATCTCAGGAGTCCATTTCATAGAAAACAACTATAAAGAAAAGGAAATTTAAAAAAAAAAAAACAGTGCTGTATGGAATTTAAAAACAAGAATTGAGTTTGAGACAACTATCAACTGTCACACATCTATGACATTTAACTCATCATGGATATGCTGGTAGTGATATAGTGAGTACTTTTTAAAAATTAAAAATACATAGGCCCTATAGGTATAAATTTTGAATATTATAGAGGGCTCCTACTATTATATATAAAAACGCATCTGATCATTTGCTTATTATGACAATTTGTATTTATACCAATATTAATTAGGTCTTATTAATTTCTTAATTAATAGACCAAATTAAAATTCTTGAAAAATAAAATATAATATGTATATATTCATTATGTTACTAGATCTATTAGTACTATTATTTATCATTCTTTTAATATGTATTTAATAAAAAAAAAAATTTACAATAAAGAAGGCATCAAACGGTTTCAACTCTAACAGTAAGGAGAATTTAAATATTTGTTTTTAATCTTGTGCGATGATATTAAAACATAAATTACATGTATGACCGGTGTGACATGTGATCTTAAAACTTCATATTGCTTGTCTGTTGGTTAGTACAAATTTAATGTATTTTAGTATATTTAGATCTAGTATTATTTTGGTAGGGTGTCAGATATGATTTTAAACTTCATTATTGTTCAAGATGACTTAAACAATTAAACACTACATTAATTTACCTTTAATTTGATACCAATTTTATTTATCTAATTTAATCGGTAGCCTAGAAAACAATTTGTGAAAAAAAAAGCGTGTTTGTTTTTAAATGGCTATGATGATATGATTGATACTCAGTTATACGTTGGGCTCATTTTTAAGAAATGTGTCATCTGCTCGATTTCTCCCCATTCAAATACACGGCGGGCTAAATGGGCAGACTTAGTTCTACTCTGTTATCTTGATCAAGATATTTTTTTAAGGTTTTGTTTTTTCCCTGCATGATGTTTTTAAAAAAAAATGAAATTAGTTTAGTAGGACGTAATATATAATTGCCTATATTTAAAAAAAATGTTGAGTAAAATCACAACAATATTAAATACAATATTACTTTTATCATGTTCTTCGTGATATTCTCAGCGATTATACCCAAAAATTGTATAAATTGCAAGTTTGCATCAAACACTAATCGTCCATTGTTAAAACTTGATGGGCATCGTTGAAGCATACGCAAAGATAACTATTTTAATTATATATTTCTGAAATGAAGATGAATCATTGTGAAAAAAAGGAATCACAGCATCGTTGTTTTCAGCAACCATCATTACCATGACAACAGTTTTAAAAAGTAGATCAAGCTACAGGCTAATTTAGACCCTATTATTTTCATTTTTAAAAAAAGCCACAATAATTAATTTGATTTCTTATATTATAAATAATATATAATTGTCATCACAACTCTCTGTTAACAGCTACCTAAAGCTAGATCAACACATGAAAATAAATTGTGTTCAGGGTTTTTTACACTGTGTCCCCCACCACCACCAAGAGAATATTAAATATTTATATATATTAAATATATTTAGTAAAATAAGGATCTAATGTTGTTAGGTAATCTATCGTTTTAGGTACGTAAAATCGCCCGTGTCGGTTATTTATTTTTCCGGAATCGTATAGCAGTAAAAAAAAACAGTAAAACAATGGCAAAGTCTGTCACACAGTTCCGGTATCCACCGGAAGTACTGTAAACCATACTTTATTTAGCGTCATCTTTTATTTTTAATACAGAACGCTTAAAATTTGGATAGATTTATTTTAATTGCGTGTTAAATCCTGCTTTATTACTCATTTTGTATAATTAGTTATTTTTTAGTGTTTCAGCTAAATATTTCTGCTACTAAACATTGTATGATTGTTTAACAGGCAGTGGCGTGCAGACCTATGTAGATGCCCGGGGCAAAATCAAGCGGAAGATGCCCCCATAAATACTTATATATATATATATATATATATATATATATATATATATATATATATATATATATCATTTATTTTAAAAAATGTACTTATCTTAATTGAGATGAAAACGTTGACTACAGCCAGCTAAATCCAAATGGAATGAATGGTTGGAACTTGGGAGAAGGGGGGGGGGGGACAATTGCGGGACGGGTCGTGGTGGGGAGGGGGGGGGGGGCTGTGATGCACTACAAAAGAGTCTCATCCGGTATTGTATTACCACCCGGGACCGCAGGGACAAAAACGCTGTCCGTGTCTGCAATTAGAGCGTCAGATACGCCTTTATTAATGGGATGTTTCTCTCTTGGCCTGTTTAGGAATTCCTATAGTGTAACTAATACAGGTGAGAGTGTGTATTGAACTAGAGATGTTTCAGATTTTTCTCTCTAAACCACTTGGTCAAAACGTCAACTCTTTAAAGAGATGGGTGATGCTAGATACTCTCAAACTATCTGAACCTTGAATATAACAGAAGTGTACCTTGGTTGGCTAAGGGGTCATCCATTTATGACTTCCACACATTTTTGGGATTTTGGACCCCCCCCCCCCATCCCGTGGACGTCCACACTGACTATAAGTTTTTGCATAATCTTCTTCCACTATTACTCAAGCTACTGCATTTAGTGTGTATATACTCTGAGTGTATATAGTATTACAAATACTGGTACAAATGTGTTTTATTGTCCTTCGTGTCCCACACCTGAACAGGGACAGCGTGCTAACACCCCCCCCCCCCTCCACCCCTCTCCCGTCTCACAACTGAACTGGGATGACTTAATTCAGTCACCGTGAACAGCCTTAGGGCCCAGTCCTGTTTGTGTGTTGTAAGCTGCTGACCCGCGGTGGTATGGGATGATACAATAGGATTAGTCCAGTTGACGCTCATCTGCTGGTATGGGATGATACAATAGGATTAGTCCAGTTGATGCTCATCTGCGCTGACCATTGACCAAGGTTTAGCTGTTATTCGCGAAATAGCTGAGACATTTTTTTTTCTTACCTACCCTTGTGGGCGTGGTTTTTGCGAGATGCGTAGAAAAAAAAAAATCCCGACTTGAAAAAGGGGACACAATCACGCCTGCGCGGGAAGGGAGGGGAGGCGATCTAAAGGTGTCGTCAAGAAAAGGGGAACCTAAGACGGCCGTGTTGTGGCATGTCGCCCGCGCGGGCGATACCCCGCGACGTCGTAATCGTCGCGAGGCTATAGAAGAAGTACATTAAAAAATAGCTTTAGAGATGCCCCCAATGTTAACAACGATGATTGGTGTAATCACTGTTGCATGTCCTTCGAGTGTAATGCATGAATATAAGCTTAATTACTTTCAAGATGCCCCTACAATATATAAAATGAAGATGGGCATACTTACTGTATGGATGCCTTTAAAATGTATTATAAAGTGAAGTGGGCATATTAGTAAATGCTCATAAAATATATTATAATGAATATACGAATAATTACTTTAAAGATGCCCCTATAGTGTATAAACATAAATATGATTTAATTACTCGACGGATGTCCTTGAAAATGAGTATAACGAATACGCGCATATTACTTTAAAGATGCCCTAATACAGTGCATGGGAATAACTTGGTCACAAGTACTCTAAACGATGCCCCTACACTATACTAAATAAATATGACACACATTTATTAATGGAATATCATTGACTTCCGTAGGACTACCCTTCTATATAAGTTTTGCCATACGGACAGTGTAATGTTAAAACGGCTGACAGACGATTGAGTGTTACAATTTTTTGAGTGAGATCGCAAAACATATGGAAAGTTACGATGACACCATGACACGACATATCACAACAGTTTTTAAATTACTAAGAAAAAAAAAAAAAAATAACTAGTTAATTAAATTTTTTTTTTTTTTACCTCCGCTGGATGCCCCCCAGTGGTGGATGCCCGGGGCCTAGGCCCCGTCCGCCCCCCCCTCTGCACGCCACTGTTAACAGGGTTCGTATGCAGTCTGAAAAAAGTCTGGACGGGTCCACACTGTGGTATGACGTTTTTAGGGCTAGACTAACCCGCCCCTCATAGTAACTAAGGTCACTGATATCTAAACTTGAATGCTTGAATGAACTCACGGTGACCCCAAGTAAGTAGATGGTGCTGTTCAGGGGCGGATTAAGCTTGGGCGGGGCCCCGGGCTGAAACTTTTTGGGGGCTCCTGTTATATATATATATATATATATATATATATATATATATATATATATATATATATATATATATATATATATATATGTGACCTAGGCTAGTTGCATCTTTCCTGTTCGCAACGCCAAATGTGACCTTCCCCGAGTCTATCCTGCCCGACAACGCCAATTGTAACGAGTTGAACCACTCAGGTTACACAACATCGACTACAGTAGAAAGACTCGAAGATGCAGGTTCGCTATTGATCCTTTTATTACATGAATCAAGAAATGCTTCAATATAACACAATGAATCAACAGAAATGTTTCACAATAATAGTCTGAATCAACTGACCCCCTAACAGTCCTCACTAGGCTTCATATAACTGAATCCACATGTCTATTGTCCTTCTTAACACAATATAACCAACTTGAGTATGTCACACAGACTGACTGATCTAAAGCAAGCGACGACGACGGAAGAGAGAGAACGAGTTCTGCCGTCCCCTCCTATTTATGCCTTGTATCCGTACTCGTCTCCGTACTTGTATTCCTCCGTAATCGATACTTGTACTCGATGTCTCCGACCACTAGTTGCGTAGTTCTAACATACAGTCCGTGGAATAACATCTGCATCCCATCAATCAAAGTTGACAGGCCGTCTGAATCTCCTTGTACCGTTTCCCAAAATAGCACGCGTTGGCTTTGAGATTGTTATCAGCCCGACCCAATAAGCCACCTGTTGTGTTGCGTCAGACTGCAACACTGCGTCTCGGCTTCTCGTTCGTTATCAGATTTGTAACTAGTGGCTAGGCCTACCCTAGTCACATCCACCCCTGCCTTTTTTTGTGTGTTTTCAACCACAAACAACGCCTGGCAGGTGCACTCCTTCAAAGTCAATCGCACAATCGTAAAAAATTTTTATTGTTCCACTCACTGTCCACGACGTCCCATTCGTATACGATTGACAGTTATACCTATTTCACATATTAACTGTGTCTACATCATCTTCCTGAGACACAAAACAGTTCTAGAATTCACATCCACCCTTTTCGTTTGGTGCCTTCACCAGTTCACTTTTATAGCTTTTTGAACAGTCTGTTCTCATACCAGCGCGACCATGAAAGACTTGATGGTTGCTGACAAAAAATTTCGTCTTCCTTCTGTTCCTCAAACTTCTCCGCGGACCACTTATCTGATGGTCTACTGTCTCTCTGCTTCTGGAAGGAACGGGATCCTCTTTGTTGCCGTTATCCTTCACTTGTGTATCGCGGTTGTTCTGATGATGGTGATATGGTTCCGGGATGGGTATGTGAATTTCCGTTATAATTTCCGGTTCCCTAATTGTCTTGGATTTCCTTGTGTGTAACTGCTCTTCTTGCCTATTCCAATATTTCTTTAATTGAGCAATATTCGCCCACCGATCCGGTTTGGCGTGATCGATGGGTCTTATCTTAAAGGGGCCACCTGCTGCTTTAGGCATCTCCACGACTTGCCATATCTCCTGTCCCCAGAGATCGTGGATTTTGTTTCTGCCTAACGGGTGACTACGCAGTAATACCCTGTCATTCAGTTTGAGTGGCGGGTCCTTTGTCTGTACCGGCGGTTCCCTTCGCCGTGCTTCATGTTCTAGTCTTTCCTGTACTACCCTGTACATTTCTCTAATTCTTCTCCTGTGTTCATTCACATATTCCAGTGCGGTGTATGAGCCAGTCATACTCTCCCTTTTTCCTAGGAACAAATCAAGAGGGAGTCGAGCCTCCCGTCCGAACAGCAACATGTATGGCGTAAAGCCGGTTGTGGCATGGGGTGTGCAGTTGTATAGATATACCAACTCTGGGAGAAAATCAGGCCAACGTTTTTTCTGTTCAGGTTCTAGGGTACGCAGCAAATCATGCATGCTGCGGTTGAACCGCTCGCACTGTCCGTTTCCTTTCGGATTAAATGTGGTTGTTCTAGATTTGTTGATCCCGTAGTGGCTGCACAGTTGGTTAATTACTTCTGACTCGAAGGCCCTTCCTTGGTCAGAGTGTAATTGTCTTGGTATGCCATATTTGATGAACCAATGTTCTATTAAGACCTTTGCCACTGTTTTGGCAGTCTGATCTCGCGTGGGCACCGCCACCGTCCATTTGGTGAATACATCAGTCATTACCAACAC